CTTCTCTCTCTCTCCATCTGTTTGTCTCCCTCTGCTTCTCTTTTCCTCCGCTCTCTTCTCCTCACTTCTCTTCCCCCTCCTCTTTCTTTCGCTCTTCACTGTTTCTCTTGCCCTCCCTCCTCTCTCTCCTCCCCTCTCTCTCTCCTTCCTCACTTCTTTACTCTCTCTCTCTCTCTCTCTCTCCCTCCATCTTCCCCTCGCTCTCTCTCTTTCGCTCTCTCCTCTGTCTCTTCTCCCTCTTTTTCTCTCTCTTTGTCTGTCTCTCCCTCTCTCCTTTCTTCTTCTCTCTCTACCTCTTCTCCCTCTCCACCCCTTTTTTTCTTTCTTTCTTTCTTTCTTTCTCTCTCTGCCCTCTCTGTTTTATTTAATTATTTCGTGGATATTTTCGTGTAGATGAAGTTTTTTTTTTTTTTTTTTAAAGTTACATAATCAGAAGTGAAAAGTGCACAAAATATTTAAAGGGTAAAAAATAAAGAAATAAAATAAATAAAAATACTAAAAGTCATTTTGGAATAAAAATGTCTTGAGGAGTTTTTAAAAGATTCTGGGAGGATCAACCCCTCTTTTCTCTCTTTCTCCTCCTCTCCTTCCTCTCTCTTCTCTCTGTCACTCTCTCTCTCTCTCTCTCCTCTCTCTTTCCTTCTCTTCTCTCTCTTTCTCTCTCTCCCATTCTGTCTCTCCATCTCTCTGTCCTCTTTCTTTCTCCTCTCTTGTTCTACTTTCTTTCTCCCTCCCTCTCTGTCTCTCTCTTCCTCTCCCCCGTCCTCTCCATTCACTCCTCTCCTCCCTCTCTCTTTTTCCTCTTTCTCCCCTCTCTCCCTCCCTCCCTCTCTCTCTCTCTCTCTCTCTCTCTTCACTCCTTTTCACCCCCTACCTCTCTCTCTATCACTCCCCTCTCTCTCCTTTCACTCATTCCTTTCACTGCTCTCTCTCCCTGCTCTTCTCTCTTTCCCTCTTTCTTTTCTTCCCTCTCTCCTGTCCCTCTCTCTCCTCTCTTCTCTCTCTTTCTCTGTCTGTCTCCTCTATCTCTCTCCCTCATCTCTCCTCCTCTCACTCCTCTCTCTCCCTCCTTTCTCTCTGTCTCTCTATCTCCTTTCACTCCTCTTTCTCTCTCTCCACTGTTATTCTTTCTTTCTCTCTCTTTCACTCCTCTCTCCCTGCTCTTCTCTCTCTTTCCCTCTTTCGTTTCCTCCCTCTCTCTCTACTTTCTCTCTGTCTTTCTCCTTTCATTCCTCTCTCTCTCCCTCTCTTCTGTCTCTCTCCCTGCTCTTCTCTCTCTTTCCCTCTTTCGTTTCCCTTCTCTCTCTCCTCTTTCTCTCTCTCTCCTCTCCCTCTCTTTCTCCTTTCTCACTCCCTCTCTCTCTCCCTCTCTTTCTGTCTCTCTCCTCTTCTCTCTCTCTTTCTCTCCCTCTTTATCTCTCTCTCTCTTTCTCCTTTCACTCCTCTCTCTCTCCCTCTCTTCTGTCTCTCTCCTTTTCTCTCTCTCTCTTTCTCTTTTCACTCCTCTCTCTCTCCCTCTCTTCCCTCTCTCTCTTCCACTCGTCTCTCTCTGTCTCTCCTCTCTCTCTATATCTTCTTTCTCTCTTTCACTCATCTCTTTCTCTCTCTCCACTCTTTCTCTCCTTTCTCTCTCAGTCTCTCTATCTCCTTTCACTCCTCTTTCTCTCTCTCCACTGTTATTCTTTCTTTCTCTCTTTCACTCCTCTCTCCCTGCTCTTCTCTCTCTTTCCCTCTTTCGTTTCCTCCCTCTCTCTCTACTTTCTCTCTGTCTTTCTCCTTCATCCTCTCTCTCTCTCCCTCTCTTTTGTCTCTCTCCTCTTCTCTCTCTCTTTCTCTCCTCTTTATCTCTCTCTCTTTCTTTTCTCCTTTCACTCCTCTCTCCCTCTCTTCTGTCTCTCTCTCTTCTCTCTCTCTCTCTTTTCTCCTTTCTCTCCTCTCTCTCTCCCTCTCTTCTCTCCCTCTCTCTCTCCACTCGTCTCTCTCTCTCTCTGTATCTTCTTTCTCTCTTTCACTCATCTCTTTCTCTCTCTCCACTCTTTCTCTCCTTTTTCTCTCTTCTCCCTCTCTCTCTTCTCTCTCTTCTCTCTCTCTCCACTCGTCTCTCGTGTCGTCTTTTCATTCACACGAGTCGACTTCTTAAACGTTTAATCTTCTGTGACTCTTTTTCTCCGTGTTTTTCTTTCGGCTCCATTTAGACGTTTTGATTCGCCGAGTCTAAAGCTCCACTGCGGCACATTTTGACTTTTTTTACTTTTACCTTCTTCTTAAATATTATAAGAGATTTAAATTCAACACGAGTAGAAAAACCTCCCAGCGTCTGTGTCGGCGCCGGGGAGGAGTCGTTTCCACAGTAACGGCAGCCACTTTAAAGGCGCACCGCGTAACTTTTCTGGCGCCCGCTCGTCTCCATGGAGATGTTACAGATTTGAGTTGATGTTCCACAATCAGACACCAGGTCAAGTGGTTTTCAGAGCGAGAAAAACACCTGTAAATAAACAAACACAAGACAGGTACTCGGTTTGTACTGCGGAACATTCCGGACTAGTCAGTATCATCTCCATGGAGACGAGCAGGCGGTAGAAAAGTTACACAGTGCACCTTTAAAGCCCGTTCAGCGCTGGAGCTCTCCAACCCGTGACTCTGGCTCTGATTCATTTTCTGTAGGGAGTATTATCTGTTACATTGTACAGTTGTAGGGAGTATTATCTGTTACATAAAGGTGAGTTGTTGTGCAGTTGTAGGGAGTATTATCTGAGTTGTTGAACAGTTGTAGGGAGTATTATCTGTTACATTGTACAGTTGTAGGGAGTATTATCTGTTGCATTGTACAGTTGTCGGGAGTATTATCTGTCACATAAAGGTGAGTTGTTGTACAGTTGTAGGGAGTATTATCTGTCACATAAGGGTGGGTTGTACAGTTGTAGGGAGTATTATTGTTGTACAGTTGTAGGGAGTATTATCTGTTACATTGTACAGTTGTAGGGAGTATTATCTGTTACATAAGGGTGAGTTGTTGGGCAGTTGTAGGGAGTATTATCTGTTACATTGTACAGTTGTAGGGAGTATTATCTGTTACATTGTACAGTTGTAGGGAGTATTATCTGTTACATTGTACAGTTGTAGGGAGTATTATCTGTTACATTGTACAGTTGTAGGGAGTATTATCTGTTACATAAGGGTGAGTTGTTGGGCAGTTGTAGGGAGTATTATCTGTTACATTGTACAGTTCTAGGGAGTATTATCTGTTACATTGTACAGTTGTAGGGAGTATTATCTGTCACATAAGGGCGAGTTGTACAGTTGTAGGGAGTATTATCTGGTACATTGTACAGTTGTAGGGAGTATTATCTGTCACATAAGGGCGAGTTGTACAGTTGTAGGGAGTATTATCTGTTACATTGTACAGTTGTAGGGAGTATTATCTGTTACATTGTACAGTTGTAGGGAGTATTATCTGGTACATTGTACAGTTGTAGGGAGTATTATCTGGTACATAAGGGCGAGTTTAAATATCTCAGGTCATAATGTTTTATATTTTATTTCCACGTCCTCTGGATTCATTTGTTTTCTCTTAAAACACTGTGTAACTTTTCGTGCAGTTGCTTTGCTTGAAATGTTCCGCAGTGTGGCATTAAACACATTTATCTGCACGGATACAGAAAAGTGGCAACACAAGGCCAAGTTACAGGTCAGATCTGTGGAGAGGAACTGTGAAAACACCTGTGCTATAATCACTCTAAGATGGATGAGTTTAATGCCATGCTGTGGAACATTCCAGGCAAAGCAATAACATCACCATGGAGACCAGAAAAAGCAGACCCCCTACAGAATCCGTGTATCATTCGTTCATTCATTTTTCAATATAAAACCAAAAATAAGAAAATTAAAAAACAACAGTTTTCTTCATTATTTGTCTCCAAAACCAAAATGAAAAAACAGATAAAGATTAGATTTTTCAGTTTTTGATTTTGTGTTTAAATGAAAAATGGAAAAAACGGAAAACGACCGTTTCCCGTTTACGTGACTCCCATAACTGTGATGCCGGACTTTTGCACCACGTACGGACTGAACCAGGACCGATCCAGGTCCGGGACCAGAAAGGGACCAGAGCTTTGACTCTGAGCCTCCGCAGGATCCAAGCCTCAGCTTCGAGCTCTGGCCCTGTCGTGGGCTCTGAGCCTCCGGTCTGGTCCCGGGCTGGTCTCAGTCTCGGTCTGGTCCCGGTCTGGTCTCGGTCTCAGTCCCGATCTCAGTCTCGGTCTGCTCCCGGTCTGGTCTCGGCCTCGGTCTCGGTCTCAGTCTCGGTCTCAGTCTCGGTCTGGTCCCGGCCTGGTCCTGGCCTGGTCTCGGTCTCAGTCTCGGTCTGGTCCCGGTCTGGTCTCGGCCTCAGTCTCGGTCTCAGTCTCGGTCTCAGTCTCGGTCTGGTCCCGGCCTGGTCCTGGCCTGGTCTCGGTCTCGGTCTCAGTCTCGGTCTGGTCCCGGCCTGGTCTCGGTCTGGTCCCAGTCTGGTCTCTGTCTGGTCCTAGACCTGGATCAGTCCTGGTTCAGTCCGTACGCGGTGCAAAAGTCCGACATCACAGTCACAGAAGTCACATAAACCATTTTTTCCATTCTTCATTTAAACACAAAATTGAAAACTGAATTATTTGCTTTTTCATTTAGTTTTTGGAGACAAATAATAAAGAAAAAAGTTGTTTTTTTGTTTTCTTATTTTTGGTTTTATATTGAAAAACGAATTAACAAATGACACACGGATTCTACAAAAACACTACCTATTGTATCTTTAAATCATGTGTGTTAATATATGTGTAAGTATGATTGTTTTTTTGTGTTTTTGTCTTGAAGAGAAGGTGTTTTTTTTTTTTTTTAACTCAACATGTTTTTTTTTTTTAATCAGTTTTCTGCACAAAGTCTGTTTTTTTTTTTTTTTTTTTTTTTCGAGGCGCTGAAACAGATATTCTTCCCCGAGTTATGGATTTCACAGATCTGTGTCTCCGCAGGGAAATGAGCTACGGAAGATTCTCCTCACGCGATACTTCGGAAATCAAAAGCTCCACTCGAAGACGGAGCACGGCGGCGGAACCAGCTCCACCGGCGCCTTCTCCAAACCCTCGTCTGGAGGTACTGACGGGAAACTCAGAGAAACCCGAGCGAAACACGTCTGACAGCTGCACACGCGTCCACATTCACACTAATGAATTGCTTTTTTGCGACGGTACAGTCACATACGGTCTTCATTAACCGTCTGGAGGCCCGTGTGACTCTGCGGGAGATCTTTATGTGATGCACAAATATCGGAACGAATTTGAGGCCAGGGTTTATATTCTCGGGTGACCAGACGTTCCCATCCACCCGGGACAGTCCCAGTTTTGAGCCTGTGTCCCCCCCGTCCCAGCAGATTTATCCAAAACCACTGATTTGTCCCAGTTTTATACAAAAAAAATGTTCCAGGTGTCCCTATTTTTTGACCGATTTGAGCTCCACGAACAGTAAAGAGGAGGATATATTGTCGTTTGTTGAGCTAAAATACAAAAAAAACCTGCTTGAAAAAGATCATAAGACAAAAGAATTCGACAACATAAGTCTCTCAGATCATGACAGGCGAGAAATACACAGGTACAGGTGAAAAAATACAGGTACAGGTGAGAAATACAGGTGCGAAAACATAGGTAAAGGTGACGAAATGCAGAAATACAGGTGAGAAATACACAGGTACAGGTGAGAAATACAAAAATACAGGTGAGAAAAATACACAGGTACAGGTGAGAAATACAAAAATACAGGTGAGAAAAACAAAAATACAGGTGAGAAATACAAAAATACAGGTGAGAAATACACAGGTACAGGTGAGAAATACTCAGGTACAGGTGAGAAATACTCAGGTACAGGTGAGAAATACTCAGGTACAGGTGAGAAATACTCAGGTACAGGTGAGAAATACTCAGATACAGGTGAGAAATACACAGGTACAGGTGAGAAATACTCAGGTACAGGTGAGAAATACACAGGTACAGGTGAAAAATACTCAGATACAGGTGAGAAATACTCAGATACAAGTGAGAAATACTGAGATACAGATGAGAAGTACAAAATTACAGGTGAGAAATACTCAGGTACAGGTGAGAAATACAGAAAAATTATGCCTGAAAAAGACCAAAAGGCAAAACACAAAACACGAGTAAGTCAAAAATGGACAACGTTACACACTCTTTTCACAGTTTTATTTATCCCGACCATCCCAACCCGATGTTTCTCAGTTTGGAATTTTGGAAATCTGGTCAAACTACCAAAGTATTAACAGGATTTTTTTTAAACAGACAAAATAGTGAAATGGAAACACCAGGATCATGCAGAGTGGGTTAATATGAACATTTTAAGCCTAAAATACTCATTTTGGCAAACAAACGCACATGTACGAGCACATGCACGACTTTACTACACGAGCCCTGTGTGTGTGTGTGTGTGTGTGTGTGTGCTGATGTTACTAATACAAGAAAAACAGTGAATAAAATCTGCTCCAAAACACACGACAAAACCCACACTGACCTTCAATAAGGACAGTGACAGAGACAAAGTTTATCTGGCTCTTCTGGCTGGATCATAAAAGTTCGCACATCAGCCTCAATATTTACTTGATATTTCTGCCGCTGGACTTATTTTTCTCCGCTAAAAGCAAAAGCACATGTAAACAAACAGCGCCGCGTGATGACGTCATCGAGCTGTGGCCCGGTTCAGATGTGCAGGTGTGAGTGCGGAACATAGAACCCACAACAATCGCACGGTTCTAAAGTCCTAGAGCAGGGGTGGGCAAACTGCGGCCCTTTAAACCATTTAATCCGGCCCACAGAACTTGAATAAATTATAGTAATATACCTTGTTAATGTTTTATTTTTCCTGCAGTTCCGGCGTTTCCCAGTAGATGGTGCACTATATATATATATACACTGAGGTGTGGCGTATTATGTTGGCCGCAACGCTTTATGGGACAGGAGTCATTTTCGGGCGGTGTATTCGGACCATGAGTGAGGTAGAAGTGTTCAAAACACTGCACGGTTTCTATTTTAAGTGGGTTTAAAGCAAAGCATAAAGACTTAGACACTGTGTTTCAAATTCAATCACATGGAATGTCCTACGGCTCAGGACTTAAGCTCACTTGTGGTGTGCAGTGAAGCAGAGCACGTTCACTTTCCATGTATTCTGAAACTTACGCATCCTAAAATTGCAGCGCGTAGGTGCAGAATATGTTATACATGAGTGCAATGGAGCCGGGCTTTTAACACGTCATGTCCTGTCTCTTGTCCGGCCCTTAAGTCAAATTTTAGAACCCTGTTGTGGCTCCCGAGCCAAAAAGTTTGCCCATCCCTGTCCTAGAGTGAGTCGCCCTAAACTGCAAACTCCACCTGAGGATACTGACCTGTCTCCAGCTCGATTATTATTGTTATTATTATTATATATTGTACAGTGTTGTGATGTTGTGTGTGTTGGTGTGTTTTATGTGACTGTGCCCGTGTGCTGTGCTCGTGTTGTGCCCAGGAGGCTCGCCGCTGCTGGACGTGGACAAACCGGGCAGCAGCGTGGTGGAGATCCAGTGTCTGCTGGACAGTGTGGGCGCCTCGGAGCTGGTGATCGATCTGATCGTCAGCACCAAGAACGACCGAGTGTTTGAGGAGAGCATCCTGCTGGGCATCGCTCTGCTGCAGGGAGGAAACACACAGATACAGGTGAGAAACGCGCAGGTACAGGTGAGAAATACACAGGTACAGGTGAGAAACATTCAGGTACAGGTGAGAAATACATAGGTACAGGTGAAAAACACACAGGTACAGGTGAGAAACGCATAGGTACAGGTGAGGAAACACAGGTACAGGTGAGAAATACACAGGTACAGGTGAGAAACACACAGGTACAGGTGAGAAATACACAGTACAGGTGAAAACACAAGGTACAGGTGAGAAACACAGGTACAGGTGAGAAATACACAGGTACAGGTGAGAAACACACAGGTACAGGTGAGAAATACATAGGTACAGGTGAAAAACACACAGGTACAGGTGAGAAATACATAGGTACAGGTGAAAAACACACAGGTACAGGTGAGAAATACAGAAATACAGGCGAGGAAACACAGAGGTACAGGTGAGAAACACAGGTACAGGTGAGAAACACAGGTACAGGTGAGAAATACACAGGTACAGGTGAGAAATACAGGTACAGGTGAGAAATACACAGGTACAGGTGAGAAATACACAGGTACAGGTGAGAAACACAGGTACAGGTGAGAAACACACAGGTACAGGTGAGAAATATACAGGTACAGGTGAGAAACACACAGGTACAGGTGAGAAACACACAGGTACAGGTGAGAAACACACAGGTACAGGTGAGAAACACACAGGTACAGGTGAGAAATACACAGGTAAGACTAATCTTGAAATCCTTCCTTTCTCCTACAGAATTCCTTTTACCACCAGCTCCACAAACAGAAGAAGTCGGAGCGTTTCTTCAAAGTTTTCTTCGACCACATGCAGGTGGCTCAGCAGGAGATCAGAGCCACCGTGTCCGTCAACATGTTCGAGCTGAGCAGCCGGAAGAGAGAGGACGACGGCGAGGGGGGCGGGGCCGGACGCTTCAAGAAAGGTAACCGCGGTAACACAGCGTCTCGCCTCAGGGTTCAGTCTGTGTCAAACGGAAGAAGAAAGTCTGATTTTAGAAGGACCAAACGTGCCGCCGAGTTTTGACACGATACTAAAATTACAGCCTCGATTTCAGTGTTTAATAGTACCGTATTTTTTGGACTATAAGGTGCACATAAAAATCCTTTAATTTTCTCAAAAATCTACTAAATCGTGGACTCAAATTACTAAATCGTTTCCATGTTTTAGATAATTAGTTCCAGTTAGAGCCCTGCAATCCCGCGGGACCCGACGCAAAACAGTGCGGCGCGGGACACATTTTGAAATCTCACTGCAGGCGCAGGCGAGACTAAACAACACGGGAGCGGGCGGATGGGATGATAAACTACAGTCCCGCAAACTAAATATGAGTATAAAGTAAAATATACAAATGATGAATGTAAGAATATCATGCATAATTTGTGCTGGAGATTTTATCTGGCATTAATAAAAATATTTTAAGCCGCAGACTGTCCTCCGTCTCGTACGCCGCGCGGGCTGCACCACTAAACCAGGTCTAAAACCAGGTCTATAAACCAGGACTAAAACAGGATTTAGTGAGGACTAACCATGCTGCCGGATCGCCCACCGCGCCTCCTCCCCTACGCAGCCCATTTCCTTTCGCTTTTCTGTGTTTGATAGAGCTTAAGAAAGCAAAGGTTCCCATCCTGCGGGACAAAATATCACAGATGCGGGCAGGAGCGGGATTGAAAATTACAATTCTTTGCGGGAGCGGCGGGCGGGCGGCGGGCGGGCGGCGGGCGCGGGACTCTACAGAGTGGGAGCGGACTGGAACAGGACTGAACATTCTGTCCCGCGCAGACCTCTAGTTCCCTTGTTTTAATTAAATCTTTCCCACGATTTAGTTAATTAGTTTCCACGTTATAGTTAATTCATTCCCAAGTTTTAGTTAATTCTTTCCCACATTTTAGTTAATTCTTTCTACATTTTATTTAACTAGTTCCATGTTTTAGTTCATTCTTTCCCAAGTTTAAGTTAATTTATTCACACATTTTAGCTAAATTGTTCGCATTTTTAGTTAATTCATTTTTAGTTTTCGTTCTCACATAGTTAATTTATTCACACATTTTAGCTAAATTGTTCCCAAGTTTTAGTTAATTTGTTCGTTTTCAAGATGTAAATGTGTATTTTAGATGTGATTTTGTTTTCAAACGTGTTCATTTGTGTTGTGAAATGTAAAAGTGTCTCGCTCTTGTCGGCCACAGGAGAAAATAGACGAGAGAATTCAACATTATTGATATTGCGCCTTAAAGCTCGAAAAATACTCATATTGATTAAGATTTTTTTTCTTTTCAGTCATTTTACTTTAAAGCGTCTCTCTTACTTTTGGACTTTCTCAAACATAAGCAGATTTTTTTTTTAAACACAAAAAGAGAAAACAAAAACAAGCTTTAAGAAAATTTGATTAACATTTTTATACCATGAAGATAATATAAAATATAATTCTTTAAATTAAACTAGACGTGCCCTCAGACACAATTTTCTTTTGGTGTATTGGTCCATGTAACTTTAATCAGTTCTTTTTACTTTACATTTAAAAGTTTTATGGCAAAAGGAATAAAACATTGAGTGTAGCGGTTGGTCAGGAGGGTCGGGTCACACACTCTGGACCGAAAAGGAAACGAGGCTAAAAAAGTGAAAAGTTTTTATTAAGACAAAATAAAATCAAATGGAAACTGTGATGATGGGTCAGTATGAGGAGTTCACTGTAATTATTATTTCTCCTAACACGAGGCTTACTGTAAAAGCTGCTCTCGAGTTCAGTCTGGGTGGTCCCCTTTGGTCCTGAGCCCGTTTGGTCCTGGATTATAACAGTGGACGAGTTAAAATCCCCTCAGAGTCTCGGTCTGTGAGCTCCTGTACGGTCACATGTGCAGACGTGTGACACATGAGGCCGTCAGAGCCTGTTGTGTCTGAACTGCACCTCACACGTTTACGCCGCCGCACACGTTTACTCACACGTTTACTCACACGTTTACTCACACGTTTACTCACACGTTTACTCACACGTTTACTCACACGTTTACTCACACGTTTACTCACACGTTTACTCACACGTTTACTTTACTCACACGTTTACTCACTCACACGTTTACTCACACGTTTACACACGTTTACTCACACGTTTACTCACACGTTTACTCACACGTTTACTCACACGTTTACTCACACGTTTACTCACACGTTTACTCACGTTTACTCACACGTTTACTCACACGTTTACTCACACGTTTACTCACACGTTTACTCACACGTTTACTCACACGTTTACTCACACGTTTACTTTACACACGTTTACTCACACGTTTACTCACACGTTTACTCACACGTTTACTCACATTTACTCACACGTTTACACACGTTTACTCACACACGTTTACTCACACGTTTACTCACACGTTTACGTTTTACTCACACGTTTACTCACACGTTTACTCACACGTTTACTCACACGTTTACTCACACGTTTACTCACACGTTTACTCACACGTTTACTCACACGTTTACTCACACGTTTACGTTTACTCACACGTTTACTCACACGTTACTCACACGTCACACGTTTACTCACACGTTTACTCACACGTTTACTCACATGTTTACTCACACGTTTACTCACACGTTTACTCACACGTTTACTCACACGTTTACTCACACGTTTACTCACTTTACACACGTTTACGTTTACTCACACGTTTACTCACACGTTTACTCACGTTTACTCACACGTTTACTCACACGTTTACTCACACGTTTACTCACAGTTTACTCACACGTTTACGTTTACTCACACGTTTACTCACATGTTTACTCACATTTACACACGTTACGTTTACTCACACGTTTACTCACACGTTTTACTCACACTCACACGTTTACTCACACGTTTACACACGTTTACTCACACGTTTACTCACACGTTTACGTTTACTCACACGTTTACTCACATTTACTCACACGTTTACTCACACGTTTACTCACACGTTTACACACGTTTACGTTTACTCACACGTTTACTCACACGTTTACCTCACACGTTTACTCACACGTTTACGTTTACTCACACGTTTACTCACACGTTTACTCACACGTTTACGTTTACGTTTACTCACACGTTTACGTTTACGTTCACACGTTTACTCACACGTTTACTCACACGTTTACTCACACGTTTACTCACACGTTTACTCACACGTTTACTCGTTTACTCACACGTTTACTCACACGTTTACGTTTACTCACACGTTTACTCACACGTTTACTCACACGTTTACTCACACGTTTACTCACACGTTGTTTCACTCTCACACGTTTACTCACACGTTTACTCACACGTTTACTCACACGTTTACTCACACGTCACACGTTTACGTTTACTCACACGTTTACTCACACGTTTACTCACACGTTTACTCACACGTTTACTCACACGTTTACTCACACGTTTACTCACACGTTTACTCACACGTTTACGCCGCCTCACACGTTTACTCACACGTTTACTCACACGTTTACTCACACGTTTACTCACACGTTTACTCACACGTTTACTCACACGTTTACTCACACGTTTACTCACACGTTTACTCACACGTTTACTCACACGTTTACTCACACGTTTACTCACACGTTTACTCACACGTTTACTCACACGTTTACTCACACGTTTACTCACACGTTTACTCACACGTTTACTCACCGTTTACCTCACACGTTTACGTTTTACTCACACGTTTACTCACACGTTTACTCACATGTTTACTCACACGTTTACGCGCCGCCTCACACGTTTACTCACACGTTTACGCCGCCTCACACGTTTACTCACACGTTTACTCACACGTTTACGCCGCCTCACACGTTTACTCACACGTTTACTCACACGTTTACGCCGCCTCACACGTTTACTCACACGTTTACTCACACGTTTACGCCGCCTCACACGTTTATGCCGCACACTGTGGACAGACGAGGACCGAGCGAGCGTGACGTCGCCCACAGCGTTCAGCTCCAGGCAGAGGAAGTTACAGGACTAAACTAGGACTAAAACCAGGTCTAAACTAGGACTAAACTAATACAATATGACACTAACAGTAGGTGGACATAATTGTGATTTCATATAAAAATAATTTTTCTATCAATAATATTTTTTGATATGGTCAAGTAAAGACTGAACAAACAAGAATTTTCACGATGTGGTTGTTACATTCATGTAGTTAAAAAAAACAACATGGCATTATATATATATTTTTTTAATTTATTTATTAAATGACAAATGGTAATGTACAAAAGAAGTGAAAAAGCATGACAATATCAAGTAATCCAAAGTATTCAGATTACATTACTCACCTTAAGTAACTTGATGGATTCTGTTACAAACTACATTTTGGTGTGTGTAATCTGTAATCTGTAATCTGTAATCTGTAGGGGGTTCGTCTCATCTCCAAACCGGAAGCTGTAGTTTTCAAGTTTTCAGCTCCTTTTACTTTTCGTTCAGTAGAGAAAAACATCAGCGTTAAAGTTTGGGTTATATATATATATATATATATATATATATATATACATACACACACACACATCATTTCCACTTTTTGGATATAATCTATAAATAAAAGTTGAATAAGCGTTAAAGTTGATATTTCTTGTCGTAGGTAAAGACTCGAGCCTGCACATGAGGGACGACATGCGTGGACAGCTGAAGGAGGCGTCCTCGGCCACGTCCAAGGCCTTCACCGCCTACAGGAAGGAGCTGGAGCCCGACCTGGAGGGCCTGGGTCAGAACAGCGAGGCCCTGGGCTCGGAGGAGGTCCTGGAGGAGACCCAGATGAGCCCCTCCATCTCCATCATGAACCCCATCCTCCGCTACCTCCAGCTGCTCTGTGAGAACCACAACTCAGAGCTGCAGGTACCAAACGCCGACGGGTTTTCATCAAATACTAGTCACAAAAACTTTGATTTAGACTTAAAACGGACACACACTGTAGGAGAATTTACCCGATTTAAACTGCGATTTGCTTCTCCTTGAGTTCAGGGAGATGTGACCCGACTTTATGTCTTCATGTGCCTCTTTGTGTCTTTAAAGCTGCTGCACTTCTTGTGTGACTCTGAGCTGCTCTGTCTGCAGTGTCGGGAAGGTGACTTTTAAAATGTATTCCCCTACAGATTACAGATTACAGACCCCAAAATGTAGTTTGTAACGTAATCCATTAAATTACTTAAAATGAGTAATGTAATCTGATTACTTTGGATTACTTGATTTGCTGTAGAGAAACAAAGACGAGGAAATCATAACATAAGATGTTTCCTCTGCTAAAAGAAAATAAAAAAGACCAGACTTTACTCAACCAAATAAAAAATATTTGGTTAAGAGGAGGAGACACGGTCCACGCAGCCTGGTTTAGTCCTGGTTTAGACCTGGTTTAGTCCTGGTTTTAGACCTGGTTTAGTTCTGGTTTAGTCCTGATAAATCCTGGATTAGTCCTGTTTTAGACCTGGATTAGTCCTGGTTTTAGTCCTGGTTCAGACCTGGTTTAGTTCTGGTTTAGTCCTGGTTTAGACCTGGTTCAGACCTGGTTTAGACCTGGTTTTAATCCTGGTTTTAGTCCTGGTTTAGACCTGGTTCAGACCTGGTTTAGACCTGGTTTTAGACCTGGTTTAACCCAAAATGTGAAAACAGGAAAATCCCTCTGTGTAATCCATTTATTCCAACAAAGTAACTGTAATCCAATTACCACTCACTGAAACAGTAACTGTAACTGAATACAGTTACTCATAATTTGTACTCTGATTACTCTGGTACATGTAATCTGTTACTCCCCAACACTGTCTGTCTGTAACTCAGATGGCCGATATCCAAAAGCTTTTTAAAAAAATTTTCAATAACTTTTCGTCAAAAAAAGCCTTTGCCAGATATTTTCTTCACTTTTTATTTTGCTGTTCCTTGCATTTGCACTTCTACAAGAACTTTGGTGTGCGTTTTTTTTTTTCATCTGATTTTGAAAGCAACAAACATCAGCAACGGCACGATAACAACTGACAAAACAGAGCGTCAGAGGCAGAAGAGACGGACACAGAGACACAAAATACAAACTCAGGAAACAGCAAAAATAATGCGAAGATTTATTAATAAATTCATAATAACCTGTAGCGTCTCATCCACATTATCCATAGAATTTGTTCTCCACAAATAATGACCCCAGTCCACAAAACGGTGCTGTGAATCAAGTTTGAGGTGTTTGAGGTGTTTGAAAGGTGCACACGACCAACGTGACCCGACCCAGAGTCCTGCACTGCACCATTTTAGAGACCCACACCCGCTAATGCCCGTGCCCTTGATAACCCAGGACTAACCCAGGACTAACCCAGGACTAACCCAGGACTAAGGTGCGCCCGCGTAGACCGTCTGATGACTCAGAGCTCCACACCGCACGGAGTTAAGTGCGGCCGTCACCCGATCGCGCTTTGAGGACACCTGCTCCACGGGCTCATACTTGGGGTTCTCTCTCTCTTAAAGGTTGTATAGAGGATTTTCCAAGGAAAATCCAGCGACTGTTTGTCCTTTTTCAAATGTTGCGCATGCGTGAAACCACCTCCCCTCCCCCACAGCTCCTACGTAGAAACACCTCCTCCCTCCTCCTCCTTACGCCACAAACAGGTTTGTTTACAGCCGGTGAACATGACTTGTAAACAACTAACTACAGTGTTGGTTAGACAAGACGGAGAAGTGAGGAGCGGGGGGAAGGGGGGCGCGGACATTTCGTGCGCGGACGAGAAGTGAGGAGCAGGGAGAAGAGCGGAGCAGGGAGAGGAGAGAGGAGAGGAGCAGGAAAGGGGAGCAGAGAAGGTTGCGCGGAGATTCAGTGCGAATGAACTAACTACAACACGCAGCAGCAAGCGACTCTTTCTTTGCCTTGAAAATTACGTTTTCAGACATAGGATATCACTTTCGTGTCCTGAAAAACGTTTGTGTAGCTCTTGGAAATAAAGTACGTTTTCATAATAAGCAGAAGTTTCCTGTCCAGGAGTAATTTGTGGACCAGTGGTTCAGTCTTTAGACCCTTCGTCTGCTTCAGTCGCGCCATCGCTGGAATGAATCTTCAAGAATCGCCTTAGTTTGGCTTCGCTGCTTTTCCCCTTGTCTTCTTCTTTCAGCGACCTCAAAAACGGACTTTCTTTTGCGGCGAACTGCTCCTGGATTCTTGTCGCCATTGCAACAAACTTTGTGCGAACTGCGAGGAAGATATAGGTCAAAAAAAGCCGCTAAGAACTGTTGCGTTGGTGGAGTAAACAGCGTCTGTGCGTCTTGCGTCTGTGGACTGTGTGACAGTCGTACGTAAACCACGTAACCGGCGGCGCAGGCAAGTCAGTTACACTAGAAACGTAGGGAGTTTGATTGACAGCCTGTCAGCTCACAGATAACGAGGCAGTGTCGTTATCTATTGGCAAATGTTTAGCCCCACCACGTCCAGAGTTGATGAATTTTTATGCTCTTTTTTTTGGTCATCATAATTACAAGGCGACTGCATCTTTATAATCTATCACTTGACAATTTGAAACAAAAAAAATCCTCCATACAACCTTTAAATCTGCGGGTACCTGACCCGGTGCAGGACTCTGACCCGACCCGGTGCAGGACTCTGACCCGAGCTGCCACAGTGAGATCTGGCGAGATGTTCTGAAGCCAAATGTTACTTCTCCTGCTACACACACTGTATCCACACGACAACCAACACACATGTGCATCTGCAACAAGTGCATCATCAGAGAGTTTTCAGAGCCGCTGGAAATATTATAAGTCCGGGGGATGTGGGGTGGGGGATGTGGGGTGGGGGTGGGTGGGGTGGGGTGATATCACCACATACGTCGCTGTTCGCTGTTGAGCCGCTATACCACACCACAGGAGAAACTCGGTAACCGTGACAGTCCTAATCTGAAGTTTTGCTCCACATTTGACAAATAATAATAATACAGTTTTGACTTGGATCTAAACTAGAAGTGCAGAGTTTGATCTTTGAACATTTCAGAGTCTCAGAGCGACTGGTTTTACTGTGGACAGGAAACAGCTGATGCCATCGCACTCACAGATTTATATCCTGTGTCCCGCAGACGGATCCTGCTGCAGTCTTTGCAATCACAGATTTAAAATCTTGTAAGATTCTCCTCGTGTCTGTGGTGTGTGCACTTTTTGTCGCACATTTAAAAATCCTTTAAGACTGAAAAATCCTGTAGTGTGTGTCGGCCTTTAGATTTAGACAAACTTTATTGATCCACAAGGGAAATGACACAGAAGCTCAAACATCACAATATAATATAAAAAAACTAAGAGCAAAAAGAGTTTAAAATGAGTAGGAAACACCTGAAGCCCTGAAAACCAACATCTTTAAAACCACCTTTCATTCACTTTCTTATTTCTTTTGTGTGAAGCACTGTACAAGTGTTCTGTGTTATATAAACTCACACTTTACCTTTAAAATCCTTTTTCCAGAACTTCCTGAGAAACCAGAACAATAAGACCAACTATAACCTGGTGTGTGAGACTCTGCAGTTTCTCGACTGCATCTGCGGCAGCACCACAGGAGGCCTGGGGCTGCTGGGCCTTTACATCAACGAGAGCAACGTGGACCTGGTCCGACAGACTCTGGAGACCATCACCGAGTACTGCCAAGGCCCCTGCCACGAGAACCAGGTCAGACTGTCACCAAAACATCTCTCACTCTACCTCAGTCACAATTTTCAAAGATTTAAAGCTCTTATATTACGCAAAATTAACTTTTGTGAGGTTTAAGTTGTGTTCTAATGTTGTCCCCTCCTCGAAAACAGACCTGGACTTGTGTTTTGTTTCTTTTACATGTTTGACTCTTTATTATTAGTCTGTCTGCTTCTCCAAAGCTCCAAATGCTTTGCTCCACCTTGTGATCATGAAAGCGGTAGTTTTCACGTTCACAGCTCCTTTTACCTTCGTTCCTTACCTTAGTTCAGTACAGATTGGCAATTCCAGAGCTGAAATTATCCAAATGAGTGTGTTCACATGCACATCAGTGTTCGTGTTACTGCATTTACATGAGCACTGACAAACCGGGACTCTCATATCCGCGTGTACATGATCAAATGGAGTATCCCGGTTTCTTGACATAATCTTATAAATGCACAAGCGCAAAAATTAACTTAATTAAAATTAATAAACCAGGAAAAATACAAACAACCATGAGCTCGGGAGGTTTAACCAGCATGAGGACCTATGAGATTTCCCACAATCCACTGCACACATCAAACCAACAGATTCTTCATTAAAATCTTCTACATAAATAAACTCAACTTTACAACATATAAACCAGAACCACTGTAGAGCCACATCAGCCCGTTTGATCAGATCATTCAACTTTGATCACATTTGTTTACGTTTTACAGAAACAAAAGTTAAAACCACATGACTCATTTGCATAAACTGTGAGCACTGAAAAAAAAAAATAAAAAAAAATCAGCTCGCTCCTTGTGCTGCTTGTGCGGTTCAGCTTCTTTCGGACTAAATGACACGACTCAGTGGATTATGTTCTTTTTGTGACAGAGGAGGTGCTGATGATGGTGAGTCTGTTCTGTGCGTTTACAGTACAGGAGATAGTTCATGTTTTAGTTTTTCAGCGTCACACGAGTGCAGATTGTACATGTGCAGGTTTAGTGCAGCTCTTAATTTTACAGTCATTTCACTCATGTATGTTCACTTTATTTATGTCGGTCACTTTATTTATGTCGCTGTTGTGGTGAAAAGACTGGAAAGTGTCTGTTGGACGCATGCACACTCAACTTTATGTTGCAGTAACCGGGATACTGCGTTTACATGCCACAGTATCCCGGTTACTATCGGAATAAACCAGCTACAGTGTCCCAGTTTCTAATAACCGGGACACTGTGTTTACATGCACCATGAAGAACCCGGGACACTCAAAAAAGCCGCTCATACCCGGGACACTGATGTGCACGTAAACACACTCTCTGATTCCAGTGAAGGTGTGTGGAGCTTAAAAACACAGTGGAGCATGACATCACCAGGTGGAACAGAGTGTTTTCTTTCTGTCTGAGAGAAGAACTCAACCTAAATGTGCAGGTTTGTGTGTTAAACATGTGAGAATGAAACAAAAAAACACAACTCCAGGTCTGTTTGTGACGAGGAAACGACACGGGCAATACATACTTTTATTTCTTCACGTTTAACGCAAACAAAAGTCAAATTTCTTCCTTTTGGACTCCGATCTCTGCTCCAAACCAGATTCTTTTACTGATTCCTGATGCTCCTGAGCTGATCCAGACTCCACGCTTTGGTTCTGTAACAGTTTTGTCGTGGTGTTTCCGTCTGCGCCGACATGACGTGTGTGAGATTATTAGTGTCATAGTTAAGAGGATTAAAGTCTCCTCTGCTCCACTCTGTTTAACTCGTGCAACAACACGATTATCCCGGGTAAATGATCCACTTAACGACGCTGTAATTCTGTTGACGAAGCCTGTTTTTATAAGTGGGACTTGTTGGATATTTGACCTTTTTCACAACGGCCGGAAGTTCCCCGCTTTAGGTTTGCGGAACTTTTGGTTTATGGTTTTCTGTGGCAAAGTGTGTGTGAATGTGTGTGTGAATGTGTGTGTGTGTGTGTGTGTAAATGTGTGTGTGTGTAAATGTGTGTGTATGTGTGTGTAAATGTGTGTTGTATTCTCCAGCAGCAAGACAAAAGTGGAAAAATGCATCACACACTCAGACGTCCAAAGGCTTTTTTTATTTTTAAAAATTACGTTTCAGCAAAAAAAAAAAAAAAAAAAAAAAAAAAAAAAAAAGCCATTGTTAGATTTTTTTTTGCTTTGGACAAGAAATGTCCCAGGACTAAAACCAGGACTAAACCAGGACTAAACCAGGACTAAAAACAGGACTAAACCAGGTCTAAACCAGGACTAAACCAGGACTAAACCAGGACTAAACCAGGTCTAAACAGGACTAAACAGGTCTAAAACCAGGTCTAAACCAGGACTAAACCAGGTCTAAACCAGGACTAAACCAGGACTAAACCAGGACTAAACCAGGACTAAACCAGGTCTAAACCAGGACTAAACCAGGTCTAAAACAGGACTAAACCAGGTCTAAAACAGGACTAAACCAGGACTAAACCAGGACTAAACCAGGTCTAAACCAGGTCTAAAACCAGGACTAAACCAGGTCTAAAACAGGACTAAACCAGGACTAAAACAGGACTAAAACCAGGACTAAACCAGGTCTAAAACAGGACTAAACCAGGTCTAAACCAGGACTAAACCAGGTCTAAAACAGGACTAAAACCAGGTCTAAAACCAGGACTAAAACAGGACTAAACCAGGTCTAAACCAGGACTAAACCAGGACTAAACCAGGTCTAAACCAGGAAACTAAACCAGGACTAAACCAGGTCTAAACCAGGTCTAAACCAGGACTAAACCAGGACTAAACCAGGTCTAAAACAGGAACTAAACCAGGTCTAAACCAGGTCTAAACCAGGTCTAAACAGGACTAAACCAGGTCTAAACCAGGACTAAACCAGGTCTAAACCAGGACTAAACCAGGACTAAAACAGGACTAAACCAGGACTAAACCAGGACTAAACAGGACTAAACCAGGTCTAAACCAGGTCTAAAACAGGACTAAACCAGGACTAAACCAGGTCTAAAACAGGACTAAACCAGGTCTAAACCAGGACTAAACCAGGTCTAAACCAGGACTAAACCAGGACTAAACCAGGTCTAAACCAGGTCAGGTCTAAACCAGGACTAAACCAGGTCTAAAACAGGACTAAACCAGGTAAAACCAGGACTAAACCAGGTCTAAACCAGGTCTAAACCAGGTCTAAAACAGGACTAAACCAGGTCTAAAACAGGACTAAAACGGACTAAAACGGGACTAAAACAGGACTAAACAGGTCTAAAACAGGACTACATCAGATCTAAACCAGGTCTAAACCAGGACTAAATCAGGTCTAAACCAGGTCTAAACCAGGACTACATCAGGTCTAAACCAGGTCTAAACCAGGTCTAAACCAGGTCTAAACCAGAACTAAACCAGAAAAGTCCCAGGTGTCTCTATTTTGGATCAATTTAATCCTTGCCAACAGTGAAAGAGAAACATAAACTGTCATTTGTTTTGGTAAAATACAGAAAATCTGCTTAAAAACAACAAAACACAAAGAAAATGTGACTAAACTGACTCAAATTAGAGCCGAGTGCAGAACAGTTTTACTTAATTTCGCACTTGATTCACAATTTTAATTTTACCAACCACCACAAACCAGGGACGTCCCAGTTTTTTATTTTGAAAATCTGGTCACCCTGGTTTTGCATTTGAACCTCTACGAGAATTCTGGCGTGTGTTTTCTGTTTCCGTTGTATTTTCCAGCACCTTCATAAATTTCTTCATAAACCTCGTCGAAGTTTGTGCAATTAATCGAATTTTGATCGCGATTTTGATTTGTGATTTACGATTTAAGCTTAACAGTTAACAAGTTTATTTTGGGATATATTTATACATATTTAAGTATATTTATTTTATTTTGTAAGTATAGAGATTGATATTTAGTTTATTTTGGGTACTTTTTTTTTTTTCTGCCTTATTTCATGTTCAAAGTTTATTTTACTGCTCTAAGGTTTATATTTTTGTAGCCGATATTTATTTTCAATTTGAACGTTTGGGTAAATTATCAATAACAAAGTGTTTAGTTTTTTTTTTGAGAAATGGTGAATAAATGCATCGTGTAACAAAAAATAATCGTTTGAATTTCAATATTGACCAAAATAATCGTGATAATGATTTTTTCCTTCTCAATCTCCGTTTTAAAACAAATCTTCTGTTCATGTTGTGGCTCTGGTTCGACAGCAACTTTAAAATCTCCAGGTGCTCGATGCTGCGTCCATGTTTAGGCGACTTCCGTAAACTCTGAGCGCGCTTAAAGTTCACACTGGAGATCACACACAAGTCACATTTAAGTGGAAACCTGAACGACCTCACAAAAAATTCAGATTTCACAAAAAAATGTGAATTGAGCGTTAAACCCTGCAGACTGAACATAGTCATGGTTCCTTCTTTAACGCTTCTCTTCTTCTTCTTTTTCTTCTTTTCCTTCTTCTGCAGTCGTGCATCGCCAGACACGAGTCCAACGGCATCGACATCATCATCGCTCTGATCGTGAACCCCATAAACCCTCTGGGGAAGAACCGTCTGGACCTGGTGCTGGAGCTGAAGGTGAGAGCTCCTCTGGGTTTTTACACACTCCATCTGTGGCCAGGACAGAAAAGAGCACAGATATTTACAGTTTATTTACAGATATTTACAGATATTTACAGTTTATTTACAGTTTATTTACAGATATTTACAGTTTATTTACAGATTTACAGATATTTACAGTTTATTTACAGATATTTACAGTTTATTTATTTACAGATATTTACAGTTTATTTACAGATATTTACAGTTTATTTACAGATATTTATTTACAGTTTTACAGATTTTACAGTTTATTTACAGATATTTACAGTTTATTTACAGATATTTACAGTTTATTTATTTTCAGTTTATTTACAGTTTACAGATATTTTTTACAGTATTTATTTACAGATATTTACAGATATTTACAGTTTTATATTTTACAGATATTTATTTACAGTTTTATTTTTTACAGATATTTACAGTTTATTTACAGATATTTACAGTTTATTTACAGATATTTACAGTTTATTTACAGATATATTTACAGATATTTACAGTTTACAGATATTTACAGTTTATTTACAGATATTTACAGTTTATTTACAGATATTTACAGTTTATTTACAGATATTTACAGTTTATTTACAGATATTTACAGTTTATTTACAGATATTTACAGTTTATTTACAGATATTTACAGTTTATTTACAGATTTACAGATTTATTTACAGATATTTACAGTTTATTTACAGATATTTACAGTTTATTTACAGATATTTTTTATTTACAGATTATTTACAGATATTTACAGTTTATTTACAGATATTTACAGTTTATTTACAGATTTACAGTTTACAGTTTATACAGTTTTATTTACAGATATTTATTTACAGATATATTTACAGTATTTATTTACAGTTTTATTTATTTACAGATATTTACAGATATTTACAGTTTATTTACAGATATTTACAGTTTATTTACATTTTTACAGATATTTACAGTTTATTTACAAATATTTACAGTATATTTACAGTTTATTTACAGATATTTACAGAGCTAAAGGCCTTTCAAGTAAATGCATCTTTTGTGTTCTGATGAGTTTCAATAACAACTGATTTTTTTTTTTAATATTGTATTTTCATTTTTTTTTTAAAAAGTGCATTCATAAATTATTTTTACATCATCAAATAATTTCCAACTTCATCCAGGCGACTTTTAACATCACTGAACATCAAGACTAAACCATGACGAAACCAGAACTAAACCAGGACTAAACCAGGACTAAACGATTATTATTATAATTATTATTATTTGTACCGTATTTTTCAGACTATAAGGCACAATGTCAATAATGTTGAATTCTCTTGTCTATTTTCATGCATAAATCGCACCGGATTATAAGGCGCATTAAGTGAAACAAACGGACGAGACTTGAGACTGATCCTTAGTCCAGACGTCCACAAAACTTAAAACCACATGGTTCATTTGCATAAACTTTGCAAGCGCTGAAATGAACAGCTGATGCAGTCAACTTCTGTCGGACTAAAGAACACGACTCAGTGGAATACGAGTGTTCTCTGCGAGGCTCCTGACTACAGTTGCCGCAAAGCTTCCGACCAATTCATCAAGCAGTGCGTTTTCGTACTTTACCAAAGTCGTACTAAAACATTTTGACAGATTTTTGATTTTGTGTGTACCACATAAGATCGGTTTGAGGTCAGTAAACACAACTAGAATTAATACATAAGCTGCACTGTCGATTTTTGAAGAAATTAAAGGATTTTAAGTGCTCCTTATAATCCAAAAAATACTTGAATAAAAAACAGAAGAGTATAATGTTTGCATCAGCACTGCAGATGTGGAAGTATCACTGTAAACACACAGACTCTCAGATGAGACAGTTTTTCTCACATCACTTTGTACTTTGACTTGAACTTGCCAAAAAGTAAATTCACAAATGTTGAACCTGATCATTTCTATTTGAATCTTTTAGAAATCAGCATTTAAACTATATTTCTTTATCTACTCCATCTGTATAAAATAATATTGGCTTATAGAATGTTTTGTTGTCGTCTGAAACGCGGTATTTGAGATTTATTTGAGTTTGTGTTTATATTTAACCTTAGATCTGTTCAGTTTTATCCCCAAACACAGAGCGTGAGGAGTGTGAGACGCTGCAGGTGAAAAGGAGAAATCTTAAATTCAGAAATATCAATTTGAAACTTCTGCTGTAGTTTACTCACAGAAATATAAAAAAGTGTGACAAGTTTTTCCTCATGTGATGTTTTCATATAAAAATAAGGCAGTGTCTGTGTAAAAACGGACACATTTTTGGGAAATTCAAAACGAAAACATGGAAAGAGACGTTGGTTGCTTCTTTTTGTTGACGTTAGATACTGAAAATCTACAGAGGGGATTTTGGAACTTATTTAGAATTTGGTAACTTAACTTTAGTGACTTAAAATTTGCCTAAAAATTCAAACTTCGGCTAAATTTTTTTAGAGTTGAAACTTTAATAAATCAGACCTTGAATTAGATTTGTCAAAATTTCATGAAGTACAAGGTTGTAAATGCTGATCTTTATGTTCCTATGAAAGATTTTAAGAAACAGTCTTTGCACTTTGAACTCTTTGGACACAAGTTGATTAAATATTAAAATATTTGTGCGGAGTTGACAGTTTTGTTGTTTCCACTTGAAAGTTTATATGTTAAGAGATCAAACTGACCAAAAAACAAAAAAATAAATGTTTTGGCTCCTGTTTGTCGCCTTAAATATAACACACAAAAAAGTTATTAAACAATATTCAGAGAGTTTTTGAAGAGTGCATCATGTTTGTGCTGAAATGTAACAGTAAATGTCTGAGTTCAGGTGAAGTTTACACAAAATAAAAATAACTTTGAGCTCATTTGAATGGTTTTAATTTTGAAAATTTGCATCTCCAAAACAATAATTGCAATATTATCCCATTTTTGTATCTCATTTCCAGTCTTTATGTTTTAAAATGTGTAAATAAATGAACTGATCTTGTCTTTTCTTTAGAACAACGCCTCCAAACTCCTGCTGGCGATCATGGAGAGTCGCCACGACAGCGAGAACGCCGAGAAGATCCTCTACAAGATGAGGCCCACAGAGCTGGTAACACAACACTGCTCTTCTGTCTTTTTCTGACTGAGTTTTGTGAGGTTTTTGTGTTTTTGTGAGTGAGGTTTTTTTGTGTTTTTGTGTGATTTTTTTATGTGTTTTTGTGAGTTTTCAGAGGTTTTTTTTTAGGTTTTTGTGTGACTTTTTTTGAGTTTTTGTGAGTAAGTTTTTTTTGTTTTTGTGAGGTTTTTGTGTGACTTTTTTTTGAGTTTTTGAATGATTTTTTTGTGTGAGACTTTTTTTTGTTTTTGTGAGTTTTTTGTGTGACTTTTTTTGTGTTTTTGTGTGACTTTTTTGTGTTTTTGAATGATTTTTTTGTGTGAGACTTTTTTTGTGTTTTTGTGAGTTTTGAGAGGTTTTTTTTGTGTTTTTGTGTGATTTTTTTTTGTGTGTTTTTTGAGTGAGTTTTTTTGTGAGGTTTTTTTAGGTTTTTGTGTGACTTTTTTTGAGTTTTTGTGAGTAAGTTTTTTTGTTTTTGTGAGTTTTTTGTGTGAGTTTTTTTTGTGTTTGTGAATGATTTTTTTGTGAGACTTTTTTGTGTTTTTGTGAGTTTTTTGAGTAAGTTTTTTGTGTTTTTGTGAGATTTTTGTGTTTTTGTGTGACTTTTTTTGTGTTTTTTTGTGACTTTTTGAGGCTTTTGTGCGTGTTTGTGTGCTTTTGTGCGTTTCTGTGAGTTTTGTGCATTTGTGTGCAGGTGGACGTGATGAAGGAGGCGTACGCTCAGGGTCTTGTGCGTTTTTGTGCGTTTTTTGTGAGTTTTGTGCGTTTCTGTGTGCGTTTTTGTGCGTTTCTGTGAGTTTTGTGCGTGTGTGTGCAGGTGGACGTGATGAAGGAGGCGTACACTCAGGGTCTGGAGAGTGAGGAGGAGGAGGACAGCGTCGGAGACAAGATCCGGTCCAGAGACGTGGGACACAACATCTACATCCTCGCTCATCAGGTACAAACTCAAAATACTAAGAATAATAAAGAGAATATGGACTAAAGTAAAAGTTTTAGTTGTTTACTGCTCTGAAAAAACGGCATTGTTACTGTGAGCGTGCTCGCATCTCCACAGACCTTATTTGGCCTGGTTGTTTCCATGTTGTTCCTGACCTCTGGAATAAAACGTGCATGAAGAATGTTCTAAAGTGTCGCCCCCGTTCAATTCAGTTCAAGTTTATTTTTATAGCACATTTAAAACACCCTCAGCTGACCAACGTGCTTCACATACAAGTCAACAAAAACAGAAGAAGCAGTTACATGTACATATACACAGAAAACATGTGAAAACTACAATAAAAACAAAAAGATAACCTGAACAGCTCGTACTAAACGCCAGGGAGAAGAGGTGAGTTTTCAGTCTAGTCTTTGTTGTTTTCGATTGATGGATCTGCATCGAGGTCTGAGTGCTGCGAAGTAATTCACTGCCACAACACTAGGAGGCGACGATGTAAACGTGGCGTTCGTGTGTACAAAATGAAGCGGGAAAGTGGAGCCGGAAATGTGTGTAGAGCGGACCAATCACAGCTCTTATTGTCTGTGTCGGTTTGATGCGTAGTTACAAAATTTCAGAGGTGCACATCGGTCGCGCGGCTGTGGTTTCGCAAGGTTACGCACGTAAATGCTGACGTTTTGGTAATACAGTAAAACCGTAAACCGCGGTATCACGGTATCAAAATTTGGATACCGCCCAACCCTAGTGTCTACAGATGGGCACTAATCTTTCATTTATTTCATTTTGTCCTAATAAACATTTGGTAACAAAAAGAAATCACTTCATTTACTCGAAGACAGACTGAGAGAAATCTTTCTACATTAAATTTCCGTCACAGCCCAGTTAGAGACGACCACCAGGTTTATATGAAGGACTGCAGATGGAAATGAATTGTTTATGTGCTGTGGAACATCACAGTTTTGGAACTTTTTATTTTCATTTTCATTTTCACACAAAATAAAAAGAACATAAGAACTTTCCCTGAGACAAGAATATAAAAATATTACCTTTACCAATGCATTGTTCCTATTCCAGTAAATGTGCATTATATATTATAACATGCACATGAGAAGTAAGGCATCAACAATAATAACCACAATAATAAAATAAATAAGTAAAAAAAAATAAAATAATAATAATAATAACAATAACAGTAATAATAATAAATACATAAATAAATAAAAAAAAAAAAGGAAGGAAAAATTATAATAATAATCATAATAATTAATACATAAATAAATTAAAAACAAAAAAGGAAGATAAATAAAAATAAATAACAATAAAAATAATCATAATAAAAATAATACAATAATAAATAACAATAACATTAATAATAATAATAATAATAATAATAATAATAATAATAAAATTATAATAAAAAATAATAATAAATGAATAATTAATAAATAATAATAATAATAGTTAAAAAATGATGATGATGTTAATATAATAATAATAATATAATAATATAATAATAATAATAATAATAATTATAATAAAAAAATAATAATAAATGAATAATTAAATTATAATAATAATGATAGTTAAAAAAATGATGATGATGTTAATAATAATAATAATAATAATAATAATAATAATAATAATAATAATGATAAACATCTCAGTTTTTTTATGGTCTTCATGTCTCTTTGCTTCGTCCCTTCAGAAAAAGACTAAATTAAACTGTGTGAAAACAGTGATGCATGAAGGAAGCGCTTGGATTATTTTTCTTTAAGTCAAATAACAAAAAACTTCTCGCTCTTGATGTTTCCCTCATTTTCCAAACATGTCAGACGTGATGTTGTGATGTCATTTCAGATCCGGCAGTAGATTTCGGGGCACAGCGTGGAGTCAAATGATTGCTCCATTTTCTGTCTCATTTTGTTTGTGTTTTGTAAAAGAGCGTTCTGAACTCGCTCCCGTTTCGTCTCTGAACTTTGCGTGTGAAGTGTAAATGTGAATCTTCCCCCGTGGCCGTGTGTGCAGTTGGCGAGGCATAATAAGCTCCTGCAGCAGAGCCTGAGGCCGGGGGCGGGGCCTGGTTTGACCGTCGACGTGGACAGCGAGAAAGACGACGCTCTGCATTACTACGCCAACCACACGGCGCAGATCGAGGTACGAATACACAACCTGTCGCACAACGCGCTTTTGTGTCACAGTTTAGTGTTTCCTCGTCACAAACAGACCTGGACTTGTGTTTTGTTTCTGTTTGTTTTTTAATTCTGAATTAATCGTTCTGAATTCTCCTTTGAGTTTACATGGAAATAATAATTCCGAATTGAGGTTTACATGGAAAACACGTTAAATCGTCTTTATTTAATTTTGCTCAACGTCTGGGGCAGAGTCAGAGTCCTGCACTGGGTTTGAATGTTCTGGAATGTTCTGGGTGGGTAGTGGTCAGGAGAATCAAATGAACAATGAACGGAGGAAAAATACTTGACGTGAGTCCTGGTCGTCCGTCGCCCTGGAAACAAGAGACATTTTCCGTCTTTTTCCCGAACGATGGGCCAGACTGAGAGAGACTTTAGTGTTTTTATTACAGAAAATCATCAGCGGAGGAGATGGACTGGTTTAGTCCTGGTTCAGTTCTGGTTTAGTCCTGGTTTAGTCCTAGTTCAGTTCTGGTTTAGTCCTGGTTTAGTCCTAGTTCAGTTCTGGTTTAGTCCTGGTTTAGTTCTGGTTAAGTTCTGGTTTAGACATGATTCAGTCCTAGTTTAATCCTGGTTTAATCCTGATTTAGTCCTGGTTTAGTCCTAATTTAGTCCTGATTCGGTTCTGGTTAAGTTCTGGTTTAGACCTGGTTCTGTCCTGGTCCAGTCCTGGTGTAGTCCTGGTTTAGTCCTGGTTTAGACCTGGTTTAATCCTAGTTTAGACCTGGTTTAGACCTGGATAAATTCTGATTTAGACCTGGTTTAGACGAGGTCCAGTCCTGGTCCAGTCCTGGTCCAGTCCTGGTCCAGTCCTGGTCCAGTCCTGGTCCAGTCCTGGTGCAGTCCTGGTTCAGTCCTGGTTTAGTCCTGGTTTAATCTTGATTTAGTCCTGGTTTAGTCTTAATTTAGTCCTGGTTCAGTCCTGGTTCAGTCCTAGTTTAATCCTGGTTTAATCCTGATTTAGTCCTGGTTTAGTCTTAATTTAGTCCTGGTTCAGTTCTGGTTAAGTTCTGGTTTAGACCTGGTTCAGTCCTGGTCCAGTCCTGGTGTAGTCCTGGTTTAGTCCTGGTTTAGACCTGGATAAATTCTGATTTAGACCTGGTTTAGACAAGGTCCAGTCCTGGTCCAGTCCTGGTCCAGTCCTGGTCCAGTCCTGGTGCAGTCCTGGTTCGTCCTGCGTGTATCCATATTTATAATCCACTGACAGGGCATAGGTTTAGTCCTGGTTTAGTCCTGGTTTAGTCCTGGTTTAGTCCTGGTTTAGTCCTGGTTTAGTCCTGGTTTAGTCCTGGTTTAGTCCTGGTTTAGTCCTGGTTTAGTCCTGGTTTAGTCCTGGTTTAGTCAGTCCTGGTTTAGTCTCATGTGGGTAACAGGTGGAATGTTAACGGGTCCGGGTGGGTCCAGATTTAATGGGCAGGTCCGGGCGGGTGCTGGTCTCCAAAAATGGACCGGTGCAGGACTCAGGTCTGGGGTTGGGGAAGGTTCCAGGCACCAACGTATTTACTGAAAGAAAACACACTTCAGCTGCTTTTTTATCATCTCGGTTTGTCGTTAGGCCACGGACACAAACACGAATTTACAAACTGAAGATTGAACCCAGTGCCTCAAACGTGACCCAAACCTCCACGTTTCCTCTGTTTGGTCCAGATCGTGCGTCATGACCGGACCATGGAGCAGATCGTTTTCCCGGTGCCGAACATCTGCGAGTATCTGACCGAAGAGTCCAAGGTCCGAGTCTTCACCACCACCGAGCGGGACGACCAGGGCAGCAAGGTCAACGACTTCTTCCAGCAGTTCGACAATCTGTACAACGAGATGAGGTGGCAGAAGAAGATCCGGAGTAAGTCTGGGCCCGGGCGAAAAAAAACAACAAAACAAAACAAAAAAAACCTGTGAGCTGTGAGAGCGACAAGGGCATCGTGATGATAATGTGTTTTTATTTGGTTATGTAACAGAGAGAACGTCCAGAGAGTCTGAGTTTGTGTTTGTGTCGGTGTCAGAGGTCGCGTCTGATGATCCACAATGTTCTTTACTTACTTCACGGTTTAGGGGTCATGATTAGAGCTGGATATCTGTACAGGAAAAATAACCCCCCTGAAAACAACAGCAAAAACAAATCTGCGAAATTCCACAATGTCTTGTTATTGAAGTGCAAAAAAATGCTTCTGCCACATTTAAGATTACCGTATTTTCCGCACTATAGGGAGCACTTAAAATCCTTTAATTTCATCCAAAAACGAGCGCGCGTTTTATAATCCAGAGCGTTTTATATATGAATTTATTGCTGCGACTTTAGTAAAGTACAAAGCCGCTCCACTTGCAGCGTTACGGCTCAGGAGCATCAGGAGTAAAACAGACTGTGATTCCTTTTAATATCAAAATGCACCTGTCAAGAGACACACTTCACAACGCCCAGTGTTTTGTGTGTGTTTGTGTGTGTTTGTGTGTGTTTGTGTGTGTTTGTGTGTGTTTGTGTGTGCATTTGTGTGTGTATTTGTGCGTTTTTGTGTGTGTTTTGTGTGTGTGTTTGTGTATGTTTGTGTGTGTTTGTGTGTGTTTGTGTGCATGTTTGTATGCATTTATGCGTGTATTTGTGTGCGTTTGTATGCGTTTGTGTGTGTTTGTGCGCATTTGTGTGTGTCTGTGTGTTTGTATGTATTTTGTGTGCCGTTGTGTATGTTTCTATTGTGTTGTGTGTGCGTTTGTGTGCATTTGTGTGTTTGTTTGTGTTTGTGTGCATTTGTGTGTTTGTGTGTGTTTCTTTGTGTTTGTCTGTATGTTTGTATGTGTTTGTGTGTTTGTGTGTATTTGTGTGTGTGTTTGTATATGTTTGTGTATGTTTGTGTGCATTTGTGTGTGTTTGTGTGCTGTTGTATGTGTTTGTGTGTGTATGTGTGTGTTTGTATGTGTTTGTGCGTTTTTGTGTGCATTTGTGTGTGTTTGTATATGTTTGTGTGTGTTTCTTTGTGTTTGTCTGTTTTGTATATGTTTGTGTATGTTTGTGTGTGCGTTTGTGTTTGTGTGTGTGCGTTTGTGTGTCGTTGTGTGTTCACTTTCATTTTTTTGTGTGTTACAGAAAATAAAGCTCTGTTCTGGTTTTCTCGGCACATTTCTCTCTGGGGAAGCATCTCGTTTTATTTGGCGTTTTTACTGAACGTGGTCGTGGCCGTGTTCTACCCCTTCGGCGACGACGATGATGAAGGTGAGAAATCCAGACGTGAATAAAAAAGTCTTTTTGTGTTTTTGTACGACTAAAAACTGCTGAGTCGTGTATTTAAAGGCCCATGTCAGACTGTTTTCTGATCTGGTCTAATGTCGATTCTTCATCACAAACAGACCTGGAGTTGTGTTTTGTTTCATTCACACATGTTTAACACACAAACCCTGCATGTTTAGACTGAGTTCCACCTTGTGATGTCATGTGGTGATACAGGAAGTGCTCCACTGTGTTTTTAAACTTCACACACTTTCACTAGAATCGTCTGGATCATTTCAGACCTGGAATTGTTGATCTCTACTGAACTAAAGGTAAAAAAAAGAGTTTGAAAACCAACACTTCATGACATCACAAGGTGGAACAGAGCGTTTTGAGCTTTGCAGATGTAGACAGACTAATAATAAAGGGTAGTGCTGTAGTGCTCAAGACTGGTCTTGGTCTCAAGACAGTTTTTTTGTCGGCTTGGTTTTTGTTCATGATGTTGATCTGATCTTGTCTCAGTCTCGGTCTTGGTCTTTAAAAGTCTCGGTCTTGTCTCGCCCTTTTAAAGTCTCGGTCTTGTCTTGGTCTTTAAAAGTCTCGGTCTTGCCTCAGTCTCTGCCTTTAAAAGTCTCAGTCTTAGTTTTTAAAAGTCTCGGTCTTGTCTCGGTCTTTAAAAGTCTCGGTCTTAGTCTTTAAAAGTCTCGGTCTTAGTTTTTAAAAATCTCGGTCTTGTCTCGGTCTTATCTCGGTCTTTAAAAGTCTCGGTCTTGTGTCGGTCTTTTAAAGTCTTGGTCTTGTCTCAGTCTTTTAAAGTCTCGGTCTTGTCTCGGTCTTTTAAAGTCTCGGTCTCGACCCTCAGAGGTCTTGGTCTGGTCCTGGTCTCGGGACCCTGTGGTCTCGGCCTGGTCTTGGTCTCAGTTACCGCGCTCTCGATGCCAACACTAACAAAAAGTGAAAGTGTGAATGAAGCGAAACACAACTGCAGCTCTGTTTTTGTTTTTGAGGAGGTAACGACATTAGAACACGACTTAAACCTCACAAGAATCACTTTTACGTAATATAAAACTTTTAACCAAATAATTCTTTTAGGAGAGCGAATAATTAATATTAAAAGTTCTTGGACAAACTTAATTTATACACAAAGGAAATGACTCAAAACTCACAAATTACAATATACAAATAAAAAAAACAATATTCTCTCCATGTTTTTATTTGACGTTGTGTTTTAACATTGTAAGATTAGTTAAATTATTACAATGATGCTGTTCTTTTTTGTGCAGGGACTCTGTCTCCGCTCTGGAACCTTCTGCTGTGGGTGTCTCTGGGCACCTTCACCACCCTCCTGCCCGTCGTGCCCAAACCCTGGGGCATCCTCTTCTTCCTGGTGTCGCTGATCCTCAGAGCCATTTACACCATGGGCCTGGGTCCGGCTCTGCTGCTGCTCGGCACCGTCAACGTAAGTCTGACAAACAACACGCAACCGATACTTAGGCTACGTTCACGCTGCAGACTGAAGTGACCCAAATCCGATTTTTTGGCCCCTATGTTCCTGTATCTGATCTTTTAATGTCAGTCTGAACCACACAGATCTGATTTTTTCAAACATGACCCAGGACACTTGGATCTGTGCTCCTGAAACTGATACATATCTGATCTTTAACATGTGACTTCAGTCTGAACGGACAAAGTGCATTCATCCACCTACACGTTATCAACAAGACACAAACGTCACTATTCTGCGCTGAAGTTGGCAAAAATCGCTACTGTCCCACAAAACACCACGACCAAAAACCTGGTCCTTCTCCTTCTCAATCTCCTCCTTAAAACAAGTCAGTTGTTCATGTTGTGGCTCCGGTACGAGAGGAACTTTAAAATCTCCAGGTGCTCGATGCTGCGTCCATGTTTGTTCAACTTGTGTAAACACAGAGACGCTCGCTGCGGTTGACGTCGTCGTGTCTCCAGTGTCACATGTGGGACACTTTTGGACCGTTTAATGTTCACACTGGAGTCACACACAAGTCACATTTAACTGGAAATGTGAACAACCTCAAAAAAACATCGGATTTCACAAAAAAAATCCGAATTGAGCGTTAAACCCTGCAGTCTGAACGTAGCCTATGAGGTGACGTCATGTTGGGGGGTTCTACATGTATCTCTATGATGAAATGTTCAGTAGCTGGTGTGGAGAAACAAAGAACATAAAGGCAAATATTGTCAAAAAAGCTTTAAGGTTTAGGATGACCAGACTTTCAAAATAAAAATCTTGGACATCCCTGGTTTGTGTTGGTTGGTAAAAATAAAATTGTGAAACGAGTTAAACATAATTAAGCAAAACTGTTCTACACTCGGCTCTAATGTGAGTCAGTATATTTTTACCTTTTCTTTGTGTTTTGGTCGTTTTTAAGCAGCTTTTCTGTATTTTACCCAAACAAAGCGTTTTCTGCTTGGTCAAACGCGTCATAGGTGAATCTGCCGCGTCATTGTTGTAGCAGCTTTAGTTCGTTGTCACGTGGGACGGTGGCAGAAATACGCTGCAATTTGTTAAAAAAAATAAAATAAAACACAGAATCAATCTAAAAAACACTTCAGTGACAAATACAAGGCCACACTTCACTCTTAGAAGGTAGAAAGATCTGAAAAGTTGATTTTGCATAAGATGGGCCCTTTAATGTCACACTGTGGAACATTCCAGGCAGAGCAGTGACGTCTCCATAGAAACAAGAAGGTGACGGACCCTCCACCAGAAAAGCTACACAGTGCACCTTTAAGTAATCAGAGTTTTCACTTTTTTTTTTTTTGTCTTTTCCAGCTCTTCAACAAGTTAGTTTTTCTCGTGAGTTTTGTCGGGAACCAGGGAACCTTCACTCGAGGTTACCAGGCCGTCGTCATGGACACGCTGTTCGTTTACCATCTGGCCTACGCCCTCATCTGCGTCCTCGGACTCTTCGTGCACGAGTTCTTCTACAGCTTTTTGGTAAGAAATGATGTACACAATACACAGTGTTGGGAAGGTGACTTTTAAAATGTAATCCCCTACAGATTACAGATTACACACACCAAAATGTAGTTTGTAACGTAATCCATTAAGTTATTTAAGGTGAGTAATGTAATCTGATTACTTTGGATTACTTGATTTGCTGTAGAGAAACAAAGACGAGGAAATCTTCACATAAAATGTTTTGTTTGCTAAAAGAAAATAAAAAGTCCAGATTTTATTTAACCAAATTAAATATTTTATTGATAGAAGAAGAAACACGTCCACACAGCAGGATTTAGTCCTGGTTTAGTCCTGGTTTAGTCCTGATTTTAGGCCTGGTTTTAGACCTGGTTTTGTATTGGTTTAGTCCTAGTTTAAATCTAGTTTAGACCTGGTTTTAGTCCTGGTTTAGATCTAGTTTAGACCTGGTTTTAGTCCTGGTTTTAGATCTAGTTTCTAGTTTAGACCTGGTTTTAGTCCTGGTTTAGACCTGTTTTAGATCTAGTTTAGACCTGGTTTTAGTCCTGGTTTAGTCCTGGTTTAGACCTAGTTTAGATCTAGTTTAGACCTGGTTTAGTCCTGGTTTAGTCCTGTTTTAGATCTAGTTTAGACCTGGTTTTAGTCCTGGTTTAGTCCTGGTTTAGATCTAGTTTAGATCTAGTTTAGACCTGGTTTTAGTCCTGGTTTAGTCCTGGTTTAGACCTAGTTTAGATCTAGTTTAGACCTGGTTTTAGTCCTGGTTTAGTCCTGGTTTAGTTTCGGGCAATGAGTGGGAAAAAAAAAAAAAAAGGGGGGGGATTTAGCCCAAAATGTAAAAACAGAAAAATCCCGCCGTGTAATCCATTTATTTCAGCAAAGTAACTGTAATCCAATTACCACTCACTGAAACAGTAACTGTAACTGAATACAGTTACTCATAATTTGTACTCTGATTACTTAACTCCAGTACATGTAATCTGTTACTCCCCAACACTGACAATACACAACACACACGAGTGAGTTTTAAGATGAAAACTGGAAAAGAAAAAATACAAAATGCTGTCAGAGGTTCATGGTTTTGTTTAGAGCAACGGACGCCAACCTTAAATCCTCAAAGAGCCGTTTGGAGCCACAAAACCCTAAACCCTTTGACTCTAAAATGAGGAGAAAACTACAGATTATTATTTATTTTTTTTTACCTGTGTGATCTGTATAAACGACAACATAAGAGAATATTTGTCCTTTCATACTCTACCAGTCAAAAGTTTTAGAACCACATCCCCAAATTTAGTCTGCGTCAAATGTTTTTATTAATACTAGTGCTGTTAAGTGATAAAAAAAATTTGAGATTAATTAATTAATTTGATTAATTAATTACAGATCATAATCTCTTTTTTAATCTCATCTAATAATTGCTGAGAAAATTCTTCAACTTGAGGTATTTTCATTTGAATTCATTTTTACATTATTTTCATACTATTATTAATGTTTTTATATAAGTGTCATTATTATTATTACTGTTACTAATCTGCATAAATAAACTCAACTTTACAACATATAAACCATAAAGACTCTAGAGCAGAGATGTCCAAACCTTTTTCATCAAGGGCCACATATCTAAACATGAACGAAGCAGAGGGACGATCGAGCTCATCACAGTGAATAATTGAAATCTGTGCATGTTTAACACATTAGTTATGTGTTAACAGTTTCTGTTCACGCTAAGATCCTTAACAACACACTAAATATTCAATATGAGCTTTATCAAGGTAGATTTGACTAAAACTTGCAATAAAACCAGATAATAAGAACCAGATTGTAAAAGTTTGCAGCAAAATCAGTGGTGTTCAGATGGAGGATTTGGAGTCTGTGTGGAGACATCGGGTGTTAGAAAAGACTAAGGCCACACTGAGCCTAACCATGTTCTGCACCCACAGTTCATGAAAATGTCCTCTGGGAGGCGCTATGTCACCCCACTGCAAAAGACCAACCACTACACCAAATCTTTTATTCCTTCTGCCATAAGGATTTTAAATGGAAAGTGAATTTGTTCCTGTGTCCCTGATGCTCTGTGGTTTGAACGTTTAGTGTCTGTCTTTCTTTTTCTTTATTATTTATATTTATATATTGTGCGTGATCAGAGATGTGCCAACTGAATTGCCCTTTGGGATTAATAAAGTTGTTGACTGATTGATTGATTAGAAAGTAATTTTTTTATTGATGCAAGGTAATTTGGACCAATTCTCCAGGAAGCCTGAGGGCCAAGAAAAATTTGTCTGAGGGCCGCATTTGGCCCACAGGCCATAGTTTGGACATGTCTGCTCGAGAGCCACATCAGCCCGTTTGACAATAGAATGTGTTTAATGCAGATTTGTGCAAGTCTCAGAAACAAAACTTAAAACCACATGACTCATTTGCATAAACTAAGCAGAGAAAAAAACAAAATGCTCTTGTGTCGCTGATGTCGTTCAGCTTCTACTAAAGTTCATGACTCAGTGGAATATGAGTGTTCTTTCTGTGACAGAGGGATGTTCTGCTGATGGTGAGTCTGTTCTGTGTTTGTGTCGAGATGTTTTCAGATCAGACGTGTGCAGGTTTATCGCAGACGCGGCGAGAACGGGAATGAAAATTACAATTCTTTGCTGGAGCGAGCGGAGCAGGACTGCACAGTACGACTGTGTCCGAACTAGGGACGGGCATTCGATGAAATTTTCTTAATCGATCATCGGAAGAATTAACGATCGATTATTGATTAATCATTAATTACATCATGCACTAATTCATGCATGACATCTCACCTGGAAAAACAGTTTTGTTCAAATCTCACAGAATGTGAAGATAAAACTCCAGCAGTGGTTCAAACATATGTGCAGGTCAGTGTGACCAGATTTATCCACTGTGCACATGGACTCACACTTGTCCCAACGCAACGGAAAGTGTGGAATTTCTTCTACAAATCCTGGTTAAATCCACATTTGTGCTTCGGTTCGTTACAGACTGACCCACTGTTTGTGTCTCGCTCCTTCTGATGCAGAGACACATGTACACACCTGTTTGGTCACGACACACCACATACATTCAGTTTGTCGATTAAAATTAACGTAATCGATGAAATTCTTAATGATTAATCGATTAATCATACCCATCCCTAGTCCAACAACACATAAAAACAGATTTTATAATAAGTCAACTCGCGAACAGAAACAGTAAATTTAGAGATTAAAAATAAGATTAACGCGATTAAAAACATAACGCGCTAAATATGACTGTAATTAATTAATCGCAATTAACGCGATAATTTGACACCCCTAATTAATACCAAATAAAATATCCACCACGAATGATGTATGAGGCAAACATGAATCATTTATATATTTTACTTTACACTCATATTTAGAACAGAACAGATCAGCTCACCTGTTGTACATTTAAACACTCTAAAACTGGTAAAATATCCAGTTGAATTCAGAAATATTGAACCAAATAACTGCTCTTATAACCAAAACCTGCCGATCTAAAACCAAAACAAACACATTTAAAGCTTCTATTTTACGCAGAATTGACTCTTGTGAGGTTTAAGTCGTGTTCTAATATTGTTCCGTCCTCAGAAACAGACCCGCAGTTGTGTTTTGTTTCATTCCCACATGTTTGAGTAACTCTTTATTATTACTCTGTCTACATCTCCAAACTGTGTGACTTTTCTGGGGATTCTTTATTGGACCGTCGTCCGCTGGTGTAAAGGACAAATGTTTAAACTGCTCGGGCGACTCACTTTACTACAGCACAGTTAAAATCATTTATATTTCACATTTGTCCAAAAGTATTTGCACTCGTTTTGCCAGTTCTCACTTTTTTAGGTTTAAAATTTTACTTCGTGACATCACACTCGGGAATTTCATAACAAATCACAAGTCCAGGTCTGTTTGTGATGAGGAAGCGACATTACAACATCTGAAAATTGCATAATATTCTTCACTGAGCTACTTTTACAAAACAAAAATGCCAGAGAGCTGCTTATTTTAGCAGTCGCAAAGAAACTAAGTATATATAAGAGCCTTGGCAAGCCAGAGTCGTTTTGGTTGTGGAGGCAGCGTTCGTTCACACTGATCCAATGAAAAACGGCTCCAGAGACGGAACGATCTGGTGCCTCCAGCTCCACGAATTCATGTTGGTCCAGATGTGATGGGGACTGTGTGGACTCCTGAAAACACTGATACTCTGATGTAGGTCTGTGCACCGCCAAGTCATTCACCGACAAAACACTAAGCCTACAGTCAGTCTGCACCTGAAGTGACCCAAATCAGATTTTTTGGGCCTCTATGTTCCTGTATCTGATCTTTTAATGTCAGTCTGAACGACACAGATCTGTTTTTTTCAAATGTGACCCAGGACACTTGGATCTGTGCTCCTGAAACTGATACATATCTGATCTTTTGACATGTGACTTCAGTGTGAACGGCCAAAGTGCATTCATCCACCTACACGTTATCAACAAGACACAAACGTCACTATTCTGCGCTGAAGTAGGAGAAAATTGTTAATGAACTCTGTGTGACTGAAGTGAAGCACATCTCCACTCACCACAAAACACCACCACCAAAAACCTGGTCCTTCTCCTTCTCAATCTCCTCCTTAAAACAAGTAAGTTGTTCATGTTCTGGCTCCGGTACGAGAGGAACTTTAAAATCTCCAGGTGCTCGATGCTGCGTCCATGTTTGTTCAACTTGTGTAAACACAGAGACGCTCGCTGCGGTTGACGTCGTCGTGTCTCCAGTGTCACATGTGGGACACTTTTGGGCCGTTTAATGTTCACACTGGAGTCACATACAAGTCACATTTAACTGGAAATGTGAACGACCTCGAAAAAACATCGGATTTCACAAAAAATCCGAATTGAGCGTTAAGCCCTGAAGTCTGAACGTAGACTTAGAGGCGAGAATATTTGTCCATTCATCTCCAACACTACAGAAACACAGAACAGACTCACCATCAGCAGAACATCCCTCTGTCACAGAGAGAACACTCATATTCCACTGAGTCGTGTCCTTTAGTCTGACAGAAACTGAACCACATCAGCGACACAAGGAAAGAGCAGGTTTTTTTTAATGATTAGTTTATGCAAATGAGTCATGTGGTTTTAAGTTTCATTTCTGTAAAACGTAAACAAATCTGCTCAAAGTTGTGTGGATGGGAAAGGATTGTGGACACAGAAACGACGTGTCTGGATTAGGGATGGGCATTCGATGAAATTTTCTTAATCGATCGTCAGAAGAATTAACGATCGATTATCGATTAATCATTAATGTTTTTATATTAAAATGATCATCATTATTATTACTATCTGCACTAACCTGCATAAATAAATTCAACTTTACGACATATAAACATAACGACTCTAGATCCACATCAGCTGTTTGACATTATAATGTGTTTAATTCAGTTTTGTTCAAATCTCACAGAAACAAAACTTAAAACCACATCACTAATTTACATAAACTAAGTGAAGATAAAACTCCAGCTCTTGTGTCGCTGATGTGGTTCAACTTGTGTTGGATTAAAAGACATGACTCAGGTGAATACAGGTCAGTGTGACCAGATTTGTGTTTGTCAAAACCAGGACAGCGTACGGGGGGAGGGGGCGGGGGCCTCGTCATCCACATTGAGCGACTCTCACCTGGAAAAACTTTTTCCCACTGGACACAGAAACATATGTGCTGCTTTATCCACTGTGCACATGGACTCACACTTGTCCCAACGCAACGGAAAGTGTGGAATTTCTTCTACAAATCCTGGTTAAATCCACATTTGTGCTTCGGTTCGTTACAGACTGACCCACTGTTTGTGTCTCGCTCCTTCTGATGCAGAGACACATGTACACACCTGTTTGGTCACGACACACAAACATACATTCGGTTTGTCCATTAAAATGAATGTAATCGATGAAATTCTTAATGATCAATTATCGATTAATCGATTAATCATGCCCATCCCTAGTCTGGACACAAATAGTTTCCGATACGGTGATTCAGGTTTTTCGTTTCAGTGTAAACATGACCTTAGACAACACGATTTTAAAAGCGTCAAAGCTGCTGTTTTTTTGCAGTGCTCCTAAAACCCAATTTATGGATTTATGGATCTGAGTCGAGGTTTATGCAACTGAAGTAATTCACCTCCACAACATGAGAAGGCAACGATTTAAACCTGGTGTTTGTATAAAGTTTAACATGAATCATCTCCAACACGACAGAAACACAGAACAGACTCCGCATCAGCAGAACTCCCCTCTGTCACAGAGAGAACACTCATATTCCACTGAGTCACTGTCCTTTAGTCTGACAGAAACTGAACCACATCAGCAGCACAAGGAAACGCTTAGTTTATGCAAATTAATCATGTGGTTTTAAGTTTAGTTTGTGTAAAACGTAAACAAATGTGCTCACAGTTGTGTGGGTAGAGAAGGATTGCAGACACAGAAACGACGTGTCTGGACTCAAATCTTTTCTGATACGATGATACGGTGATTTGTTTCAGTGTAAACTTAACCTAAAACATAAACCAGTTACCCTTTTATTAGTGCACGAAGTTCGGCATGAAAACGACACATTTATAGTGGTAATAATTCAAATTTGACTTATACAACGCAATAATAGAATTCATAAATCCCTTGGCGAGCTCCTCTGAAGGGGGTGGAGAGCAACAGGTTGGAGACTTTTGCTTTAAACATTATTCGCCCGTAGAATCTGTCATCCGTAATGTTCCGTACAGTAAAGTGATAACGAAATGTCTTTGTTCTTTGTCCTCGTCAGTTGTTCGACCTGGTGATCCGTGAGGAGACTCTGCTGAACGTGATCAAGAGCGTGACGAGGAACGGTCGCTCCATCATCCTCACCGCCATCCTCGCCATCTTCCTCGTCTACTTCTTCTCCATCATCGGCTTCCTCTTCTTCAAGCACGACTTCCGCATGGAGGTGGACCGGCTTTCAGCTGCAGGTACCAACCGCAGAGCTCGATTAAAACCTGAAGGTGAACCCAAGGTGCCGTCGTGTTGTTTTTTTGTCTTCCACATTTACTTCCTCAATCCACGCGAGCTCCTCCCACCGATGAGGTTCGTTTGGTCTTCCGATAATTTATGTTGTTAGGTTCTTTTTTCAGACCAAGAGTTTGTTTTCATACCGTTTGAACTAGAGACTCAGAGCGACTCAGAGCAGCGAGGCTCAGTCTGACAAAGATCACTTTAGGAGCTTTGAGTACAGTGTCCAATCATCCCTATTTACCCAGGACAGTCCCAGTTCTGAGCCTGTGTCCCTTGTCTTAGTGGATTTACAAAAAAACACTGATTTGTCCCAGTTTTATACAAGAAATGTCCCAGGTGTCTCAAGTTTTGACCAATCTGATCTTGCCAACAGTAAAGAGAGACATAAACTGACATTTGTTTGGGTAAAATACGGAAAATCGGCTTAAAAACGACCAAAACACAAAGAAAATGTGACTCTACTGACTCATGTTCGTCACGCACTCGTGTCACAATTTTATTATTACCAACCACCAAAAAAAAAAAAAAAAAAACGGGGCTGTCCCAGTTTTTTTATTTTGAAAATCTGGCCACTCTAGCTCGGCTCAGTCTGACAAAGATCGCTTTTACGAGCTTTGAGGAATTATTGTTTATGTTGTGGAAATAGAAAATTTTACAAAAATACATAGAATACAAAATCTGATCTTTGTGAAAGCCGGATGCCCTGTCAGAACACGGGCAGGTTGAATTCCCAAAATGCATTGTGCCTCTGTGGCCTGAACTCCCGGAGCTGCAGAACCTGAAGCGACCACTAGAGGCAGAAGGGGGAGGGGCTTATCCAGATTTTATTTTAGATCCGTGGATCCAGACCACGTTTAGACCCATGTACTGGGACGGTCACGTGACTCTGGGTTACTCATTAGTAGGGAGCAATAAACAAGAATATTGTTTTTTGTGATAATAGATCGACAATAATCGTTGGTGGAACATTTTATTTAATCATGGTAATCGCCAACAAAGGTAATCAACATTTTATTACCAAAATATCCAGGAAAAAACAACTTGTCCTTGATGTTTTTATTTTTAGATCATTGTTGCTTTCGTTCACAACAAAGTATAATTCTAGAGTATAACAGATGATTAAATGTGGAACTTACCATAATTTCCAGACTATTGAGTGCACCTGAATATAAGCTACATCAACTACATTTTTTTATTATTTTTTTTTACATATATAAGCCACACTTGTTTATAAGCCGCAGGTGTCCATGTCTTCAGGAACCAGAGCAGCCGCGTGGTCTTAAAAGTCTTAAAAAGAAATTTCATGTTCTTAAAAACCCTCACGCTCTCCTCGGGGTCACATTGAGCTGAAGAAATTTTTTTTTTCTTACCGCTCTCTTGGGGCGGATCAATCAGACCCAAAAATTAATTTTCTCGCCTGGCAAGAATTTATTTGAAAATAAATTTTTGGGTCATTTGGTGCGGATTCAAGCGAACCGAGACCACCTCTTTTTTGAGGTCTCGGTCCGCTTGATTTGGTCCGAGTCCGATTGACGCTTTCACACCGAGGAAAACGAACTGAACTAACCACTTTTGGTTCGAATGGACTGTTTGGTGCAACAAATACTGTCGGTGTGAAAACACCCTTAAATTCTGTTGTCCAAGTGTAATTTTTTTCAAAAAGTTCTTAAATTTCATTAGTCTGTTTTTTTGTAAACTCACCCGGGCTGTAGTGCGATGTTAAATGGAGGGAGGAAAAAACCAAAGTAAAATCACGTAACATGAATGAACGTCTAATTTGGAGTTTCTGCAAACAATATTTTAGTTTCTGGCGTCGGCGGCGATGAGTAAACGATCAGTAGAGTGAAGGAAGACGCTGGATGGATCGTGGGGAAGTGTCGGTTTAATCCACAGTGGCTCTTAGTTTCTAGATTTAGAACCGTATTTTCCGGACTATTGATCGCACCTGATGATAAGCCGCATCAACTAAATTTGAACTAAATTTTAAAATTGTACATGTCGGTGTCCAACGTTTTGAAGTTCGGCCGTCTGCTTGTATCGCCTCTGAAAGCTTTTGTCGTCTTTTTGCGTTGAGTCAGTTCGTCATCGTCTCACCATCGACTCATTGACCCCGAGCTCACGTGCAGCGGCTCGATTTTTCTCCTTCGACGACCAGATCAATGCCGTTAACTTAAAAACTGCATCATCTGCATTTCTCCGTGTGTTTTCATGAGGAGGGTGTGTGTATGAAGCACAAAATAACTGTTCAAAACACAATCAAACAGAATCTTCCTCGGCGAATCATCTCTTCACCTGTGTGTCTCGCTCTTGCACCTCGTCAGTTTATCTCCGTGTGATAAAATAAGTTGTGATACTAAATGAACATGAGTGAGTGGGATTTGTCTTAATGACTCGTATGTGTTAAATGCAGCTGAGTGCAGAAATGACGAGAAGAAACGTCTCAAACTTCAGTAGCCGGACATTGGAGATGAGCAGATGGGCTGTTTTTTCATCTGCAACCGCATCACAAAACTCATCTTCTGTTTGCACCCACAGTTTTTGACCAATTTTCAAAATCGCACCCGTTCTCCGTCCGCCAATTGATCACCAAGGTCCGAGTTTTTTATTTGAGTCGTTAAGGGCGAAGTTCTGTAACGACTCAACACACTTCGCCTTGTTGCCGTCGTTTTTAATTTATGGATCTGCGTCGAGGTCCATACACCACATAGTAATTCACCGCCACACCACCAGGAGGCGACTTAAACATGTGAATCAGGAGAGTCAAACTCAAGTTCATAGAGCAGGAGAGTCAAACTCATTTTGTTCCGGGGGTCGTGTCCAACCGACTTTGATCCCAAAGTGTCCGGATCAGAAAACTCATGTCATATAAACCCCAAAAATAACAATAAGTTCAAATATTTGTGCAGAGAAACACAAATCTGTTACAGAAATCTTTTTTAATTGATGAACTCTTTCTTTTACAAAATATTATAATATTATGAACAACCTGAAACTTTAAGAAAAATACAAATTTCAACACAAAGTTTTAACATGAACTTGTCTGTAAACAGGAATAAGTCCATTTTTGTTGTAAAATCCTGCACTCGGCTCCACTTTTCTCATGTGTGACATTTTTCTGATGAGGGTGTCACGGTCAACAGTCAAAACGATCGTCCTTTAAGAGCGTTTGGAAAGAGACAAGTCTTCATTTGTGCTGCTCTGGTGGGAGGGGCCACGTACAGAGACGCTGGAGACGCTGCTGTGATAAACACCACAGAAAATTAACAAGATTTTAATAGAAAATATCTTTACAATATTTGAGTAGAAAATCAGCCGAGGGCGAGATTAAAGGTCTTGGAGGACCAGATCTGGCCCCCAGGCCTTATGTTTGACACCTGTGTCATAGAGGCTAAAATTAAAAACTGGGACCAGTTTTCGTGGGCAGTTGTGGGCCAAACTAAATATTTATTGAAATAAATAAAAAAATAAATGTTTAATAATAGTTTTGCTTAAACAGAACAGAACAAACAGAATATAAAATAATAACAACATTTTAAATCAATCATGTTTCTGTAGTCGATCTGTAGCAGTGGGCAGATCTAATACAGATTTGATTTGACCTCACAGGGCCAAATTTGGCCCCTGGGCCTGAGTTTGACATGTCTGATGTGAATGAAACGAAACACAACTCCAGGTCTGATTTTGAACATGATTCAGCTTTGTGTAATATAGAACATTTAAATGTATTTCTAATTGTCATTTATCATGATTTTTGAGTTTACACTTTTCTGTTCTCCTGCATCGTTGGACAAATTGCAATTCTCTTATCTTCAATCTTAAATCACAATCTTGAAATGATTTTCCGACCTTCAGTTCTCGCCTCACAGAGCGTCCTGATCCTGATAATCCCCGCGCTCCGTCTGTGGACCCTCCCCGCGGTTCGAGCTGAGCAGACAGTTCCTCCTGTACAGCTGTGCTCGTGTTTTCTCTGTGTGGGAGTCTTAATGACCCGAGCTGGTCAGAAACAACCTGCTCGCACATGTGCACTTGTTGCATAACCTGAGCCGAGGCTGTTTTTCTGAATCGAGCGTCAGCCTCAGACACAGAGTCGTTATGTAAGAGCCCCACACTCCCCCTGCTGCTGTCTGCCTGTCTGTGGGCTGTGTGTGAGCTCCCGCTGAACTCTGTGTGGACTCCTCGCTTCTGCACACACTCTGCAGCTCTCGTCGACACGTCCCGGGGGTGCGACGCTAACTGGAGGCACTGCTCTCTCTGTGGAAGTGATAGACTTTTAATCTTAAGAGCTTTATTTTAACGCATTCTGATTAAAAAAGAACTGATTTAGACCCTGTCCACACTAATGTGTATTCAAGTCGTTTTGCTGGACATTTGGCCATACAGGTACATGTCGAACACCCCGAAGTGATGTCACTGCAAAGTATGAATAAGGGAGATGTCTCAGTGAGCGTCCTGCTCTGTGGTCTGGGTGTCACCTCTGCGTTTACCTTTTTACTGTACAGTACCAACTGTTGTCCTGTATTATGCACCATATTTTTTGGGCTTTTGGACTATTTCAGGGTTTGGGTGTTTCCTGTGACTTGTGCTCCGGTGCGACTTATACAATTTTCAGTATCTGCTGCTCCTGTTCCTCCTGCACCACTGTCACTTGGCTCTACTGCGCATGTCTCCTGCAGAAAGAGCCTCTGTCCTGTCTGTATCATGTCAGTCGATCGCACCGTTACTTCTGCACCACTGAACAATTTAACATTTAAACAAAGACTGAGACGACTGAACACAAATGAACACAAAAACATTCAGATTCTGCAGATTACAAACTGCGAGTCGTAAAATCTGCAGCTGAAAACGAAAATGGAGCAGCAGAAAGAAAGTTTGGAGTGAGAGAGAAACTTGTGACACCGGGAGGATGAACCGTGAAACTTTCCTGAAGTCACTGGATGATGGACAAAGTCTGGCTCTCTGACTTTACAAAAACTGCGACTTATATATGTTTTTTTCTTCTTCATTGTGCATTTTTTGGCTGGTGCGACTTAAACTCCGGAGCGACTTACAGTCCGATAAATACAGTAGGGCCTGTATGACACAAAATGGACTCTTGTGAGAGTTAAACAATGTTAGGTCAGAAAATAGTGTAATATTGGGCCTTTTAAATATGATTAAAAAAATTGTAATACTTTTTTCCCTCTTTAAAATTATCTACCATAATTTCCGGACTATAAGTTGCTACTTTAAATCGTGCATCTTAAACAACGATGTGGCGAATATATGGACGGATTATTTGTTCATGAACACATCGAAAGCGCCACTGTCTTTCATTCTTTCATCAACATCAGTGAGTGGGATTCGTGTTAATGACCCGTGTGTTAAATGCAGGTGAGTGTGTAAATGACAAGAAGAAACGTCTCAAACTTCAGGAGCCGCACATCCGCTCACACCTGATCCACACACCTGTCCCCGCCCCCGAGAGAGTCTGAAATCTGCTGAAATCTACAAGACGCTGACACAATCCAGACAGAACAGAGACTCTTTCTGCAGGCGATGTGACGTAGTCTGATAATCCTGTCGTTTTCCTGCCGTGTTACAGGCTGTTCGGAAAAAGTACCGGTATTTAAAAATAAAAAAAAAAATCTTTCTGTGTAAATATCAAGTGCGACCTGTATCTGTACTTTTTCTTTTTTCTTTTAAAATTTTGTTGATGTTGATGATTAAATTCAGGTGTGCTCAATAGTCTGGACATTACTGTACTCTGAATATTGATTTGTAATTTTCCAAACACGCAGCAGTCTTGCACCTTTAATTTTCCTTTCTTTTTGTTTTTGTTGTTTTTTTTGTTTTTTTTAGAGAGAAGAGATCTGGTGAGCAACAACGGCCTGGCAAACACGTGCGGCAAAGACAGCTGCCCGACTGACAGTAAGACCCAGACACTCTGAACAATGTGTTTCAAATGTTTGTGTTTTTAACCGTAAAGGTTCTGTTCACGTTTACTGGAAGACGTTTGGAAACATGCGGATGTCGACTTCCGGTGTCATTCCCGACACTGGGCATGAGGTAAAACCAGAGCCAAAGTTTCTGTTGATCTGCTGAACATAACGGAACGCTCCAACGGCATCTGTTTGTTTGTTTTTTTAATTAAGTTAGACAAATTATAAAACACAAATTCATAAGTAATTTATAAAAGGAAAAAGAAAGAATACAGTGACATTTAGATGAAGAAAACCGGGACATTTTCTCAGTTTTCCCAGATTTTTTCAGAGTTAATTTTGCGTCGCATTCGGACTGAACAAAAACCAGAACAGAACTCAACTTTTCAATTTGTTTTCTAATGGATAAAATCCACACAACGCATTTTCTGTACGACTGGACTCATTCCAGAGTTTACAAATATTTCTTTTATGATCAACGACAGACAAATATGATCGGATTTCCCAAAGATTTGTCTCTGATGCTCAGGAATATTTCTGAAAGATTTTGTACGTCAGAATATTTTCAGTTTTAATTCTTCACGACCAGGAAAATTTGAGGTGATAAAAGAAATTCTGTATTTAAAAATAATACACACAAACACACAGATACACATAATACACACACAGACACACACACTAACACACACAAACACACACACACACAAACACACAGACACACACACACACACACACACACACACACACACACAAACACACACAGACACACACAGACACACACAGACACACACAGACACACACAGACACACACAGACACACACAGACACACACAGACACACAAAGACACACACAGACACACACAGACACACACAGACACACACAGACACACACACAGACACACAAAGACACACACAGACACACACAGACACGCACAGACACACACAGACACGCACAGACACACACAGACACACACAGACACACACAGACACACACAGACACACACAGACACACACAGACACACACAGACACACAAAGACACACACAGACACACACAGAGACACAAAAGACACACAAAGACACACAAAGACACACACAGACACACACAGACACACACAGACACACCACAGACACACACAGACACACACAGACACACACAGACACACACACAGACACACACAGACACACACACAGACACACACAGAGACACACAGACACACACAGACACACAAAGACACACACAGACACACACACAGACACACAAAGACACACACAGACACACACAGACACACACACAGAGACACACAAAGACACACACAAGACACACAAAGACACACAAAGACACACACAGACACACACAGACACACACAGACACACAAAGACACACACAGAGACACAAAGACACACAAAGACACACAAAGACACACAAAGACACACACACACACACACACAGACACACACAGACACACAAAGACACACACAGACACACACAGACACACAACACACACAAGACACACACAGACACACACACAGACACACACAGACACACAAAGACACACACAGAGACACAAAAGACACACAAAGACACACAAAGACACACACAGACACACACAGACACACAGACACACACAAAGACACACACAGACACACACACACAGACACACAAAGACACACAAAGACACACAAAGACACACACAAGACACACACAGACACACACAGACACACACAGACACACAACACAGACACACACAGACACACACAGACACACACAGACACACACAGACACACACAGACACACACAGACACACACAGACACACAAAGACACACACAGACACACACAGACACACACACACACACAGACACACACACAGACACACACAGACACACACAGACACACAAAGACACACACAGACACACACAGACACACACAGACACACACAGACACACAAAGACACACACAGACACACACAGACACACACAGACACACACAGACACACACAGACACACACAGACACACACACAGACACACACAAGACACACACAGACACACACAGACACACACACAGACACACACAGACACACACAGACACACACAGACACACAAAGACACACAAAGACACACACAGACACACACAGACACACACAGACACACACAAGACACACACAGACACACACAGACACACAAAGACACACAAAGACACACACAGAACACACACACACAGACACACACAAGACACACAAAGACACACACAGACACACACAGACACACACAGACACACACAGACACACACACAGACACACACAGACACACACAGACACACACAGACACACACAGACACACACAACACACACACACAGACACACAAAACACACAGACACACACAGACACACACAGACACACACAGACACACACAGACACACACAGACAGACACACACAGACACACACAGACACACAAAGACACACACAGACACACACACAGACACACACAGACACACACAGACACACAAAGACACACACAGACACACACAGACACACACACAGACACACACAGACACACACAAGACACACACAAGACACACACAGACACACACAGACACACACAGACACACACAAGACACACACACACAGACACACACAGACACACAAAGACACACAAAGACACACACAGACACACACAGACACACACAGACACACAAAGACACACACACACACAGACACACACAGACACACACAGACACACAAGACACACACAGACACACACACACAAAGACACACACAGACAGACACACACAGACACACACAGACACACACAGACACACACACACACACACAGACACACACAGACACACACACACACACACACACACACACAGACACACACACACACACAGACACACACACACACCTTCATCATCGTCATCAACCTGAGAACCCGCGGGTCACGTCTCCGTAGTTACTGCGTGGACACCGACGTCTCGTGCGCCGCGTGTGGAACGTGTTTTCTCGTGTAAACCTCCTCCTGTGCACCTCTAAACCAGAACTAACACCAGGACTAATCCAGGACTAATCCAGGACTAAAACCAGAACTAAACCAGGACTAAACCAGGACCGACACCAGGACTAAACCAGGACTGACACCAGGACTAAACCAGAACTAAACCAGAACTAAACCAGGACTAAACCAGGACTGACACCAGGACTAAACCAGGACTAAAGCAGGACTAAACCAGGACTAATCCAGAACTAACACCAGGACTAAACCAGGACTAATCCAGAACTAACACAGGACTAACCAGACTAAAGCAAACCCAGGACTAATCCAGGACTAACACCAGGACTAAACCAGGACTAATCCAGAACTAACACCAGGACTAAACCAGGACTAAAGCAGGACTAATCCAGGTCTAATCCAGGACTAACACCAGGACTAAACCAGGACTAATCCAGAACTAACACCAGGACTAAACCAGAACTAAACCAGAACTAAACCAGGACTAAACCAGGACTGACACCAGGACTAAACCAGAACTAACACCAGGACTAAACCAGAACTAAACCAGAACTAAACCAGGACTAAACCAGGACTGACACCAGGACTAAACCAGGACTAAAGCAGGACTAAACCAGGACTAATCCAGAACTAACACCAGGACTAAACCAGGACTAATCCAGAACTAACACCAGGACTAAACCAGGACTAAAGCAGGACTAATCCAGGTCTAATCCAGGACTAACACCAGGACTAAACCAGGACTAATCCAGAACTAACACCAGGACTAAACCAGGACTAATCCAGAACTAACACCAGGACTAAACCAGGACTAAAGCAGGACTAATCCAGGACTAATCCAGGACTAATCCAGGACTAAACCAGAACTAACACCAGGACTAAACCAGAACTAAAGCAGGACTAATCCAGGACTAATCCAGGACTAATCCAGGACTAAACCAGAACTAACACCAGGACTAAACCAGGACTAAAGCAGGACTAACACCAGGACTAAACCAGGACTAATCCAGGACTAAACCAGAACTAACACCAGGACTAAACCAGGACTAATCCAGGACTAAAGCAGGACTAACACCAGGACTAAACCAGGACTAACCCAGGACTAAACCAGAACTAACACCAGGACTAAACCAGGACTAATCCAGGACTAAACCAGAACTAACACCAGGACTAAACCAGGACTAATCCAGGACTAAAGCAGGACTAACACCAGGACTAAACCAGGACTAATCCAGGACTAAACCAGAACTAACACCAGGACTAATCCAGGACTAAACCAGAACTAACACCAGGACTAAACCAGGACTAATCCAGGACTAAAGCAGGACTAACACCAGGACTAAACCAGGACTAATCCAGGACTAAACCAGAACTAACACCAGGACTAAACCAGGACTAATCCAGGACTAAACCAGAAACTAACACCAGGACTAAACCAGGACTACCAGGACTAAAGCAGGACTAAACCAGGACTAAACCAGGACTAAAGCAGGACTAAAGCAGGACTGAACCAGGACTAATCCAGGACTAAAGCAGGACTAAACCAGGACTAATCCAGGACTAAAGCAGGACTAACACCAGGACTAAACCAGGACTAATCCAGGACTAAACCAGAACTAACACCAGGACTAATCCAGGACTAATCCAGGACTAAACCAGAACTAACACCAGGACTAATCCAGGACTAAACCAGAACTAACACCAGGACTAAACCAGGACTAATCCAGGACTAAACCAGAACTAACACCAGGACTAAACCAGGACTAATCCAGGACTAAACCAGAACTAACACCAGGACTAAACCAGGACTAATCCAGGACTAAACCAGGACTAAACCAGGACTAAACCAGGACTAAAGCAGGACTAAAGCAGGACTGAACCAGGACTAAACCAGGACTGAACCAGGACTAAACCAGGACTAAACCAGGACTAAAGCAGGACTAAAGCAGGACTAAAGCAGGACTAAAGCAGGACTGAACCAGGACTAAACCAGGACTAAAGCAGGACTGAACCAGGTTTAAACCAGAACTAAACCACGACTAAACCAGAACTAAAGACCTGGTCTAGACCTGGTCTAAACCAGGTCTAAACCAGGACTAAACCAAGACTAAATCAGGACTAAACCAGGTCTAAACAACATGACACCTAACAGTAGGTTGACATAATTTAAGTTGATCTCATATAAAAAATAATTTCTCTATCAATAATATTTTTTAATCTGGTGAAGGAAAGTCTGATCTTGTTTCTGTCTTTTAACAGACAAAAACCTCTTATGTTCAGATCTCGTGGTCTTTGTTTCTACAGTAAACAGTTGTTTATTCATGGAGACTTGGGCTCAGACAATTTGAAGAAAACAAACAAGAATTTTCAGGATGTGTTTGCTTACATTCATGTCGTTTTTAAAAAAAACATGACAATATCAAGTCATCCAAAGTAATCAGATTACGTTACTCACTTTAAGTAATTTAATGGATTATGTTACAAACTACATTTTGGGGTGTTGTAATCTGTAATCTGTAGGGGATTACATTTTAAAAGTCACCTTCCCAACACTGCACACACACAAACACACAGATACACGCACAAACACACACACACACACACACACACACACACACACACAGACACACACAAACACACAACACACACACACACACACACTCTCTCTCTCTCTCTCTGTGTGTAACTGGATGAGGCGGTGAGTCATTCTTGTGTTTGTTGCTGTTCTGTGGATCACCTGCTCCATCAGCCCGAGCACGTGACCCCCCCTGCCCCCCCGCAGACACACATGCACATGCACACACACACGCACACACACACACACACCGAGTCGTTCAGATCCTCTCTGGACGCTCGTACAGAACTGATCTCAGGTCAGATTTCCAATAAAACTCTGAAAATCCACAGACTTTACATTTAAATTCACGTTACATTAAAGGTCCAACATCTGTTCTAATGTTTCCTCGTCACAAACAGACCTGGACTTGTGCAGGGGACGCCTCTCCACAGATCTGACCTGTAACCTGGTCTTGTTTGGTCTCCGTGAAAATAGAAAGGTTTAATGTCATTCTGTGAAACATTTCAGACAAAACAATAAGAATTGTTGAATCATTTGGATCATTTCAGACCTGGACTTACCAAAGTACTGAGCCAAAGGTAAAAGGAGCTGTTCATTTGAAAGCCACCACATCGTGACATCACAAGTTGGAACAGAACCAGAGTGAACCAGAGTCATCCCTGTTGACCCGGGACAGTCCCAGTCCTGAGTCTGTGTCCCCCTCGTCCCACAGATTTATACAAAAAAAACACTGATTTGTCCCAGTTTTATTACAAGAAATGTCCCAGGACTAAACCAGGTCTAAACCAGGTCTAAACCAGGTCTAAACCAGGTCTAAACCAGGACCAGGTCCTAAACCAGGACTAAAGCTAGGACTAAACCAGGTCTAAACCAGGACTAAACCAGGACTAAAACCAAAGGACTAAACCAGGACTAAACCAGGACTAAACCACGGACTAAACATCAGGTCTAAACCTAAACCAGGACTCTCAGGTAAACCAGGTCTACTATGGTCTTCTAACTAAGACTAAACTAAGACTAAACTAAGACTAAACCAGGACTAAACCAGGTCTAAACCCAGACTAAACCAGGACTAAACTAAGACTAAGACTAAACCAGGACTAAACCAGGTCTAAACCAGGACTAAATCAGGACTACATCGGACCTAAACCAGGTCTAAACCCGGACTAAACCCGGACTAAACCCGGACTAAACCCGGACTAAACCAGGACTATATCAGGACTTAACCAGGACTATCACAGTTCTGGTCTAGTCTGATTCTGCCAACAGTAAAGTGGAGCATAAATTGTCGTTTGTTTTACCAAAATACAGAAATCCGAGTTTGTGAATGAACAAAAAACAAAAAAAAAACCCACAGAGACAGAAGCTCCTCAGATTCTGACACGAGAACGAACAATCTCACACACTCTTTAACATTTTATTTACAACAAACGTCTCAGAATTATGAAAAAAAAAAACCTGGTCGTCCTGAAAGAGCGTTTGGAGTTGGGGAGACGCAGACGGAGCGATAATGAAGGATCAGGAGTCTGAGGGACGAGGAGGAGAAAGGTTGAGTGAATCATTTCGTGAGGTAAAAGGCGAGAGGATCTGAAAATAACTGAGGAGGGAAACACAAAAGAGGCGAGAGCTTCAGAGCGTCTTCATACACGTCCACACCAGGTTCTCCTCAGGACGAGGCCGGGACGAGGCCCGGACGAGACCGGGACGAGACCGGGACGAGACCGGGACTAAACCGGGACGAGGCCGGGACGAGACGGGACCGGGACGAGGCCGAGACGGGACGAGCCGGGACGAGAGCCGGGACGACGGGACGAGCCGGGACGAGACCGGGACGAGACCGGGACGAGACCGGGACGAGACCGGGACGAGACCGGGACGAGACCGGGACGAGGCCGGGACGAGGCCGGGACGAGGCCGGGACGAGGCCGGGACGAGACCGGGACGAGGCCGGGACGAGGCCGGGACCGGGACGAGGCCGGGACGAGACCGGGACGAGACGAGGCCGGGACGACCGGAGGGGACGAGACCGGGACGAGGGGACCGGGACGAGAGGGCCGGGACGAGGCCGGGACGAGGCCGGGACGAGACGAGCCGGGACCCGGGACGAGGCCGGGACGAGAGCCGGGACGAGGCCGGGACGAGGCCGGGACGAGACCGGGACGAGACCGGGACGTGACTTCCAAACCGGGACGTCCGGGACGAAACTTTAATGATCCATAAACAGTGTCGGGGAGTAACAGATTACATGAACCAGAGTTATGTAATCAGAGTACAAATTATTCAGTTACAGTTACTGTTTCAGTGAGTTGTAATTAGATTACAGTTACTTTGCTGAAATAAATGGATTACACAGAGGTATTTTCCTGTTTTCACATTTTGGGCTATATCCCAATATTATTAATATGAATAAATATATATATATATATATTATATATATATATTATATATATATATATTATTTTATTATTATTATCTGTTACATAAGTGTAAGTCTTGGCCAAAATGTAAAATATAAACATTTAAATTTATCATAAAATGACTTAAAAATTGTGAAATTATCATTTTATTTGACAAGTTATATTAAAATAAATTAGTTGTTGTAGGGAGTATTATTTGTGATATAAGGAGTTGTACAGTTGTAGGGAGTATTATCTGTAGGGAGTATTGTCTGTTATATAAAGATGAACATGAACATGTGAGACAGACTCTTCTGTTTAACTGTGCAAATAACTGAAAGGTTTTCATTCTGCACTCTTCTCTCCAATTTATGTCTCTCTTTTTTTATTTTAATCTTCATGATTATTTATGTTTTGATTTGTTTTTATTATGATTTTAATGTATTTCTTATTCTGTAAAGCACTTTGAATTACTTTGTGTACGAATTGTGCTGTACAAATAAACTTGCCTTGCCATGAGTTGTTGTACAGTTGTAGGGAGTATTATCTGTCACATAAGGGTGAGTTGTTGTACAGTTGTAGGGAGTATTATCTGTCACATAAGAGTGAATTGTCATACATTTGTAGGGAGTATTATCTGTCACATAAGGGTGAGTTGTACAGTTGTTGTCGACTTTAAAAAATGTCTTTCATTCTTACTCATGTCCTGTGGCCTGCTGTCTCTGTGGAGATAAATGTGCATAATGCCACACTGTGGAACATTCCAGGCAACATTTTAGACACAATGAATTCCAGGCACTCCAAAAAAAGTAAAAATCACACAGGGAAAAGCGCGATTTTTACTTTTTACTGCCCTTTATTGAAATGGTTTTCTGTGTAAATATCTCGAGTTACAACGTGGACACATGAGGCTTATATATGTGCAGTTTCTTTTTTCTTTTAAAATTTTATTGATGCTGCTTTTCAGGTGCACTCAATAGTACAGAAATTACGGTACTTGTTCCACCACCGTCTAAGTGTAAATCTCGAGCTTGTCCCACGTATTTTTCCCAAATTTCATCCTTTAAATATCCTCATGTTTAGTGCATTTTAAGTGACTTTTTTTTCTGATAATGATTCTGTTCTACATCGTTTCATTTGTCGTGTCCTCGTGTCGTGTCCTCGTGTCGTGTCCTCGTGTCGTGTCCTCGTGTCGTGTCCTCGTGTCGTGTCCTCGTGTCGTGTCCTCACGTGTCGTGTCCTCGTGTCGTGTCCTCATGTCGTGTCCTCGTCTCTTCCTCCAGGGGGCGATGACGGGACGGAGCGCGTCTGTGACACTCTGCTCATGTGCATCATCACCGTCTTAAACCAGGGACTGAGGAACGGAGGAGGAGTCGGGGACATCCTCCGGAGACCCTCCAAAGAGGTAACACCTGTCTGTCCCACCTGTCCCACCTGTCTCACACTGTCCCACCTCACCTGTCTGTCCCACCTGTCCCACCTGTCTCATACTGTCCCACCTCACCTGTCTGTCCCACCTGTCCCACCTGTCTCATACTGTCCCACCTCACCTGTCTGTCCCACCTGTCCCACCTGTCTCACCTGTCTGTCCACCCATCCCACCCATCTCACCTGTCCCACCTGTCCTACCTGTCTCACCTGTCCCACCTGTCTCACCTGTCCCAAATGTCTCACCTGTCTCATACTGTCCCACCTGTCTCACCTAACCTGTCTCACCTGTCCCACATCGTCCCACATACCTGTCCACCTGTCACCTGTCTGTCCACCTGTCCCACCTGTCCCACCTGTCCCACCTGTCTCACCTGTCCTGTCCACCTGTCTGTCACCTGTCTCACCTGTCCCAAATGTGTCACCTGTCTCACCTGTCCCACCTGTGCCACCTACCTGTCTCACCTGTCCCACCTGTCCACCTGTCCACCTGTCCCACCTGTGTCCCAACCTGTCTCACCTGTCTGTCCCACCTCACCTGTCCCACCTGTCCCACCTGTCCCACCTGTCTCACCTGTCTCATCAAATTTTAATCGCGATTTCGATTTGTGTGTCAAACGATCTCCAAATTCATATAATGAAGTTGTTACGATTTAAACTTCACAGTTAAGAAGTTTATTTTGGGACATATTTATACATATTTAAGTGTATTTTATTTTTTAAATATAGAGATGCTGGGTGTATAGTTTATCTTGGACACATTTAAGTTGTTTTACACTTTATTTCATGTTCAAACTTTATTTTATTCATTTTATGTTTTATACATCACAAAACTGCTCTAAGGTTCAGATTTGTAGCCGATATTTATTTTTTATTTATTTATTTATTTTAATTTTGCTTAAATTATCAATAACAAAGTGTTGTTTTTTTTTGAGGGAGAAATGCTGAATAAATGCATCGTGTAACAAAAAAATAATAGTGTAAATAATCGTGATTTCGGTATTTACCAAAATAATATTGATAACGATTTTTTCGATTATCGAGCGGCTCGTTTCCTCATCACAAACAGACCTGGAGTTGTGTTTTTTTTTTTGTTTCTTTCACACACATTTAACTCACAAACCTGCACATTTAGGCTGAGTTCTTCTCTCAATCTTAAAACACACCCTGTTCCACCTTGTGATGTCATCATGTGGTGATACAGGAAGTGCTCCACTGTGTTTTTAAACCTTCACTAGAGTCACTTGGATCATTTCAGCTCCGGAATCTCAATTTCTACTGAACTAAAGGTAAAAGGAGCTGTTCATGTGGAATAATATCAGTTCATGACATCACAAGGTGGAACAGAGCGTTTAGAGCTTTGGAAATGTAAACAGACTCATAATAAAGATTTACTCGAACGTGTGAATGAAACAAAACACAACTGCAGCTCTGTTTTTGATGAAGTAAAAACATTATAACACGATTTAACGCTCAGAAGAATCCATTTAGTTTAATATAAAAGCTTTAAATTTGCGTTGGTTCACATCCGTCTTCTCCTGCGCCGTTCCTCACGTCTCTGTCCGTCTTTCTGAATATAAAGTCGAGTTAATGTGACATAAACAGCGACATAAAGCGGCACTTTCAGGAGATTAAATTGAAGTGACTTATGGAACGGGGACCCACTTTTATTCTTGTCGGCGAGTGGAGATGAGTTACGGTTTCCTCACTATATTTTCTTAAAGCTCCGTTCTGTCATAGAAGTCGCCCGTCGCCGTCTGCGCGGAGTAATGAACGTTTTTATCAATCGCCGAGACGAGAACGAGACGCGAGCCGAGAACGAGCCGTGAGTCAAAAAGCAGAGAACGTGCCACAAGTCGAGAACGACCCGCGAGTCAAAAACAGAACGAGCCTCAAGTTGAGAAAGAGCCACAAGTCAAGTGGAGAATGAGCCACATGTCAAGTCGAGAACGAGCCAGATCCTCAACGTGAACGCAGAGTTTACAAGTCCACAGTTTGCACACATGAAGACAAGAGCACTGACATTTAAAATACGTTTTAAAATTAGTTTTAAGATGAGCTTTAAGATGAGTTTTGAGCTGAGTTTTTAGATAAATTTTAAGCAAAGTTTTAAGTAAAATTTTAAGATGAGATTTAAAATAACTTTTAACATAAATTTTAAGGTGAGTTTTAAGATGAGGTTTAAGATGAGTTTTTAGCAAAGTTTTAAGATCAATTTGATACATTTTCAGATGAATTTTAAGATAAACTTTAAGATAAGTTTTAAAATGAGTTTTAAGCTAAGTTTTAAGAGGAGATTTAAGATGAGTTTTAAGCAAAGTTTTAAAATGAGTTTAAAAATAAGTTTTAAGCTGAGTTTTAAGATAAGTTTTAAGTTTAAAGATAAGTTTGGCCGTCTAAATAAAGGCCTTTTAACTATATATTTTTTCCTTGTGTGATTTTTACTTCTTTTAGTGCCTGGACTCGGTTGTGTTTAAATTTTAAGATGAGTTTTAAAATAAGTTTTATATGAAGTTTTGAGATAAGTTTTAGATGGATTTAATATTTGTCTGTTTTCTGATCTGTTCTATTGTCGTTTCCTCGTCACAAAAAACCTGAACTTGTGTTTTGTTTCATTCACATGTTTAACTCACAAACTCTGCATGTTTCTTCTTTATTTTCTCTCAAACTGAAAACTCTGTTCCACCTTGTGATGTCACGTGGTCATACAGGAAGTGCTCCACTGTGTTTTTAAACTCCGCACACCTTCACTAGAATCATTTGGATGATTTCAGCTCTGGAATTGCCCGATCTCCACTGAACTAAAGGTAAAAAGGAGGTGTTTACTGCCACTTCATGACATCACAAGGTGGAACAGAGCATTTTAAGCTTTGAAATTGTAGACAGACTAATAATAACACAACTCCAGGTCTGTTTTTGAGGAGGAAACAGAATTATAACACGACTTAAAGCTCACAGGAGTCAGTTTTGTGTGATATAAAAGCTTTAAAAACATACTTCCTCATTTTCCCGGTTTAAAATTTGATGTATTATCCAAATATTCTTGATTTCCTGGTTGTGTTTTGTCGTCTGAGTGTGCGTTGTTTTTGTGCGTTCTGTCGCCGCAGGAGCCTCTGTTCGCCGCCCGCGTGGTGTACGACCTCCTCTTCTTCTTCGTCGTCATCATCATCGTGCTGAACCTGATCTTCGGCGTCATCATCGACACTTTCGCCGACCTGAGGAGCGAGAAGCAGCGGAAGGAGGAGATCCTCAAAACCACCTGCTTCATTTGTGGTGCGTAAAAAAAAACCAAAAAACAACAACAACAATGACTGGACTGGACGGGAAATGTGTTTACGACGAAGTGAAAGTGTGAGTGGGAGATACTCGTGAAAAATGGAAAAACACTTTGAATTTTTTGTGTTTTTTTTGGTCAGTTTGGTTTCTCTGTGTTTTAACTTTCATGTGGAAACAACAAAACTCTCCAATCTGCAAGGAAAAACGTTTAAATATTTAAAGGTTGTATAGAGGATTTTCCAAGGAACGAGAAATCCAGCGACTGTTTGTCCTTTTTCAAAGTGTTGCAGCATGTGTGAAACCACCTCCCCTCCCCTACAGCTCCTACGTAGAAACGCCTCCTCCCTCCTCCTCCTTACGCCACAAACAGGTTTGTTTACAGCCGCTGCTGCACATGACTTGTAAACAACTAACTACAGTGTTGGTTAGGCAAGACGGAGAAGTGAGGAGCGGGGGGAGGGGGGGGCGGTACATTTCGTTCGCGGAAAGTTTAGTTGGAAGAGAGCAGCGGGAGAGGAGCAGGAAAGGGCAGAGAAGGTTGCGCGGAGATTCAGTGCGAATGAACTAACTACAACACGCAGCAGCAAGTGGACTCTTTCTTTGCCTTGAAAATTAAGTTTTCAGACATAGGATATCACTTTCGTGTCCTGAAAAACGTTTGTGTAGCTCTTGGAAATAAAGTACGTTTTCATAATAAGCAGAAGTTTCCTGTCCAGGAGTAATTTGTGGACCAGTGGTTCAGTCTTTAGACCCTTCGTCTGCTTCAGTCGCGCCATCGCTGGAATGAATCTTCAAGAATCACCTTAGTTTGTCTTCGCTGCTTTTCCCCTTGTCTTCTTCTTTCACCTCAAAAACGGACTTTCTTTTGCGGCGAACTGCTCCTGGATTCTTGTCGTCATTGCAACAAACTTTGTGCGAACTGCGAGGAAGATATAGGTCAAAAAAAGCCGCTAAGAACTGTTGCGTTGGTGGAGTAAACAGCGTCTGTGCGTCTTGCGTCTGTGGACTGTGTGACAGTCGTACGTAAACCACGTACCGGCGGCGCAGGCAAGTCAGTTACACTAGAAACGTAGGGAGTTTGATTGACAGCCTGTCAGCTCACAGATAACGAGGCAGTGTCGTTATCTATTGGCAAATGTTTATCTGGCCCCACCACGTCCAGAGTTGATGAATTTTTATTCTCTTTTTTTTGGTCATCATAATTACAAGGCGACTGCATCTATAATCTATCACTGACAATTTGAAACAAAAAAAATCCTCCATACAACCTTTAATTTAATCAACCTGCGACACGAGGATCGAGCTCCTACACAACAAACTTTACAACCTCAAACTGAACAAGAAGGTGACATTTTCAGTCAGATCGAGTTTCCTCAAACACTAAATAAAATATCAAAAATCCCCTATATATTTTTTTTTTTTCTTTTTTAGGCAAGGCAAGTTTATTTCTATAGCACAATTCTTACACAAAGTCATTCAAAGTGCTTTACAGAATAAGAAATACATAAAATCACAAAACAAACAAACATAAAAAACATACAAAAAACAAAAAAACATACTGTAATTTCTGGACTATAACCCGCTACTTTTTTCTTACAATTTCAACCCAGCGGTTTAAACAACTTTTATTTATTTATTTATTTATTTTGCACATATAACATGACAATAAAAAGAAACACACTAGATAAAAAGTTGGTGCCGGAAGAGACAAAAAACCCAATAGGGCGAAATATTAAAGCCTCCACCTTATGAATACATTAAAACTTTTACATTATCATTGTGCATAAAAATGTATATATATATAAAGATGACATTTAAACACCATGCATTAAATTCTTTTGATTCAAACATGGATTAAAACACAATAAAAATCCACAATTGAAAGATGATCAAACATTAACATGAAATATCAAACATTTCCTCAAACTCTTTTTAAACGACGCCTCTGATCTGCGTCACAAACCAGATGTGAAAACTGACTCCAGAATTTTCCGCCTCTGTGTCGTCGGCAAAACTTCGCTCTTGATGTGACAAATTTTGGAACATGAAAACTATGAATTTGATGAGTTTTGTATCTGTGAATCTCTGCATTAGTTTTAAAATAGGATGTGAAATGTTCGGGGATCGTTGTTGAATTGTAAAGAATTTTATACATAAAAATACAAATTTGATAAATATTAATCTCATAAATATTAAGAATGCTAAGTTTAGTAAATAAATGAGCAGACGATGTTAGTGGCATAGAATGAGTTGCAATTTGAACAAAACGTTTTTGCACCAATAATATTTTGTTAAATTTTGTATAGAAGATTTTCCAAGGAAAGAGAAATGCAGCGACTGTTTGTCCTTTTTTAAATGTTGCGCTTCGCACCTTTTCCCCTTCTCTTCTTCTTTTAGCAACGTCAAAAACTGACTTTCTTTTGCGGCGAACCGGTCGTGAATTCTTCTCTGCCATTAAAACAAAATTTGTGCAAACTGAGAGCTACAGTTCAAAAAAGACGCCAAGAACCGCTAAACATGAACCGCGAACATAAACCACACAATCCCAGCGCGTCGGCAAGTCAGCGACGCTAGAAAAGTAGGGAATTTGATTGACAACCTAACAGCCAATAGATAAAGAGGTAGCCTTGTTTTCTATTGGCTGATGTTTATCTGCCCTCACTACGTCCACACTTGATAGATTTTTCTTTTCTTTTTTTTTTTTTTTTTGGTCATCATAATTACAAGGCTTCTTCTTCTTTATAATTCTATTTTTAACTTTCATTGACAATTTGAAAAAAATATTTAAAAAAATCCTCCATACAACCTTTAAGAGTCGTAGAGACTATATTACAATATGACAGATAGGGATAAATTAAACTGTAATATAATGTAAGTATAGAATTTGAGTCCAGAAACTTGACCTTTAAACAACAATCAAATTTGGTGGATGAGACACGAGTTATTTCAACAACGATGCGGCGAATATATGGATGGATTTTTTTTCCATCTCTGGAAAGATGAAATCATAAGGAATCCAAATCTGGCATGAATGATCTTTTGACTTATATTTTGACCTTGAAATTGACAATAAAGGACACGCCCGAGCTCAATGACACAAACTGGAAAAATGTAGCTCTATACATCTACATATAAAAAATCTGGAGGGGTTTTCTTTTTTATTTTTACACAAATTTACCCAGAAGTCGACTTACCCCCAATTTAAGACGAGACAGAGTTGGATTCCTTTCTATTTCCCTTTTCCAGAGATTCCTTGTTTTTTTTTTTTTTTATAATCGGACCAGTAGCTGTTGAGCAATTTGAATTTTGGCGACCACGCGAAAAAGTGAAAAAGTGAAATTGTGTTACTCCAACCAAACTGAAATTTGAGATTTTGTGGTTATTTTTTTTTTTTTGGTTATGACTTGCCCATACACAGAGTTGGGAAGGTGACTTTTAAAATGTAATCCCCTACAGATTACAGATTACATACACCAGAATGTAGTTTGTAACTTAATCCATTAAATTACTTAAAGTGAGTAATGTAATCTGATTACTTTGGATTACTTGATTTGCTGTAGAGAAGCAAAGACGAGGAAATCTTCACATGAGATGTTTTGTCTGATAAAAGAGCTTAGTTTTACTTAAACATTTTAAAAATATTATTGATAGAAGAAGAGGAGACATGGTCCGAGCAGCGTGGTCCTGTTAAATCCTGGTTTAGACCTGGTTTAATCTTGGTTTAGACCTGGTTTTAGTCCTGTTTTAGACCTGGTTTTAGACCTGGTTTTAGACCTGTTTTAGACCTGGTTTTTAGACCTGGTTTTAGAGACCTGGGTTTAGACCTGGTTTTCTTGGTTTAGACCTGGTTTTAGACCTGGTTTTAGACCTGGTTTTAGACCTGGTTTTAGACCTGGTTTTAGACCTGGTTTTAGACCTGGTTTGGACCTGAGTTTGGACCTGGTTTGGACCTAGTTTGGACCTGGTTTGGACCTGGGTTTAGACCTGGTTTGGACCTGGGTTTGGACCTAGTTTGGACCTGGTTTGGACCTGGGTTTAGACCTGGTTTAGACCTGGTTTTAGACGTGGTTTAGACCTGGTTTTAGACCTGGTTTAGACCTGGTTTTAGACCTGGTTTTAGACCTGGTTTTAGACGTGGTTTTAGACCTGTTTTAGACCTGGTTTTAGACCTGGTTTGGACCTGGTTTGGACCTGGTTTAGACCTGGTTTTAGACCTGGGTTTTAGACCTGGTTTTGGACCTGGTTTGGACCTGGTTTTGGTTTGGACCTGGGTTTAGACCTGGTTTGGACCTGGTTTTAGACCTGGTTTTGGACCTGGGTTTTAGACCTGGTTTGACCTGGTTTGGACCTGGTTTAGACCTGGTTTTAGACCTGGTTTTAGACCTGTTTTACCTGGTTTAGACCTGGTTTTGGACCTGGTTTTAGACCTGGTTTGGACCTGGGTTTTAGACCTGGTTTTGGACCTGGTTTGGACCTGGTTTAGACCTGGTTTTAGACCTGGTTTAGACCTGGTTTAGACCTGGTTTAGACCTGGTTTAGACCTGGTTTACAGAAGAAGAAGCTGATGGTTCCACAACATGATGGAAAAGGAAAGTTCAGAGGTTCCACCAAAACGACGGGACAAAACCTTTAATCAAACGGATTATGAAGAGAAGCAGATCAGGGATTTTGATGCGTTTCTTCGAAGCGTTTGATCTGCCAAAAACATTTTGAGCAGCAAACTGGGCTGAGGATGAGACTTTCAGAAGGTGTAAAACTCTGCTCTCCAGGAAAGTTGTGAAGGATGTTGCTGAAACGGGGTGAAGCTGATTCATTTTCCAGAGAATCTAAAAATGAAAGTGTAGAATTATTACTACTGTTACTCCTATTATCAAACGTACTCAAACTAACCTTTTAGAAATATAACAGCTGGGCAAAAATAAAAACTACTAATCGCATTAATCATATGAGTTTGAGTGCAATCAATTAATGAATTAAAAAGTAGAGTATAGTTACTTTTATTGGAAATGTAAATGAACGAGCCAAACAGCTTTTCTGTCAGAGTTGAACCTCAGAGTCTTCGAGGTTTTCTGAAGGCTCAAGAAAAAATACTGAATGAATTTTTGTACAACTAATATATTTTTTAAATATTTTTTATTCAGTGAGTAATAAACATGACACTAGTAATAATTTTTAGATCAGAGGTGTTCACACTTTTTCATCATGTGAGCTTCTTACAAAATGACCAAGTCAAAATGATCTTCCTAATACAAAGTCAAACAAACTGCACTGAAACACTCTGTGCCCCTTTTCTGGACCCTCCCCCACAGTTTGAGAACCTCTTCTTTAAGAGAACTTCCTCTGGCACTTTACACAAAACTGTGGAAAAAGTGAAGGAAGATTTTTAAACCTGTTTTTTAAAGTTCCAAACTGGAGTTTCATTCTTTTCTGGTTTTGCAGTGATATTTACCAGCCTCTGCACGTTTACCAAACCAAACGCACATCGTGACAAACACAGATGCATTTGTCACTTTTGTTAGACAAACTTCAGCCAAATGTGGCAGTAGGTCTGTTCTGTAGATCCGCTCTATGCTGTAGACCTGCTTTGTGCCAACACTGGAACACAAATTTAGACTGGTTTTTGCTTCACGTTTGGTCTTGCTCTTCTAATCAGCCGCACTGTGGGAGGGGCTTGTGTTGGCTGTACGCAGGAAGGAGCGAGAGCGTGAAAAGGCGAGGGGCGGCGTGCTGACGTGAGGCAGGTGGACAGGTAGGATGTTTAGGAAGTTGAACCTGCCCTGTGATGCACGCTGGTACACGAGGGCACACGCTGTCGCAGACGAGCCGTGCATAGGGAGCGTGTGTGTTTGTGATGCGCCGTAGAGTCTCCGCGGGTTTCAAATGAGCGCACAGGCTGCACTGAGACGCCCCACACGCTCCTGCACCCGCTACAAGTTTATTACCAACAGCAGCGGCCGGAATGAAATATGATCACACTTGTTGAGTGTCAGACCTCGAGTGAGAGACAAGACCGAGTCCAAACACGAGTCAGAGACGAGACACGGCGATCTACCCACACGACCTTGGCGATCGACTGGTAGATCACGATCGACGTATTGAGCACCACTGGTCTAGATTATTGTTTTAAACTTGGACTGATATTTCTTGGGAAACAAACTTAATATAATGGAATAGAAATGGACAAATCACAGTTTTTCTTCCAGTGATAAACTGGGTAAATCAGTGACTCCCCCTGCAGCACTGAACTAAAACACCTGCAGCACTGAACTAAACAAACACCTGCAACACTGAACTAAACCAACACCTGCAGGGTCTTCGGCGGCTGGAACGAAGTTTGAGATTGACATTTGTCTGAGCCAATCAGATTTCACTGAGTTATGGGCGGGATCATATCACCAAATCTTCCGGGTCTTCGCGAATCCCCTGTAATAGTGTTATGTAAGCGAGACCACACGACGAAAACTGCACTGGACACCTCTGTTTGGACGGAGAAGAACGAGAAAGACCCGTGAACCGGAGCTCGCAGAGACTCGGACATGTTGCATTTCACATGGTCAGAAGAAAGTGAAAAAACTGTAAAGAAAAGATGTCAAACTTAAAGATACGCTTGTGGTGGACTTTTTCAAAATAAAAGCCAGTGAGAAACAGACGTTTACAATTTAAAAAAATTAATAAATACCGGCGTTAAAATAATTGTTGGTGATAATGAATTAATTAGTTAAAGCAAAATTAATGCGTTAACGTGCCCGGCCCTAAGAAATATATCTAGAAAATAAAAGCTGCTACGTTACAGTTGGTTTTCTTGAACGTCGTTGACTCTCGTGGTGTTTGTTTGTGTCGTGTTTTGCAGGTTTGGAGAGGGACAAATTCGACAACAAAACCGTGTCGTTTGAGGAACACATCAAGTTCGAGCACAACATGTGGCACTACCTGTACTTCCTGGTCCTGGTGCGGGTCAAAGATCCCACAGAGTACACGGGCCCCGAGAGCTACGTGGCTCAGATGATCGCGGTGAGTCGAGTTTTTATTTACGTCTTGTTTTGTTGACATTTAAAGGTTTTATATTACGTAAAATTGACTGGTATAAAAGTCACTTTGACCATGTTAGAAGAGTTTCTCACATTTACTCACCTGAAGTTTTATTTGGAGTGATTCATGTTTGAGGAATCTTGAATTGCTTATTTTCATGACGCCTTTTTGTCAGTCTTCACCAGTACATGTCCACTGTGACGTACACACTTCTCCAGTTTGATGTTCTTCATGGGTGATACTCGTAGGATTGGGCAACGTTGGTCTAAATGTGAAAAAACATTTTTGCTCTAGTGTGATGTGCAGCAGGAGGGGGGCTCACAGCCCGGTTTAGTCCAGGTTTAGTCCAGGTTTAGTCCAGGTTTAGTCCTGGTTTAGTCCTGGTTTGCTCCTGGTTTAGACCTGGTTTAGTCCTGGTTTAGTCCAGGTTTAGTCCAGGTTTAGTCCAGGTTTAGTCCTGATTTAGACCTGATTTAGACCTGGTTTAGTCCTGGTTTGCTCCAGGTTTACTCCTGGTTTAGTCCTGGTTTAGTCAGGTTTAGTCCATCCGTTGCTCTTGTCATGATGTTTACGACGGCGTCAGTCCTCATTGGACACCACGTGTGTGAAGTTGCTCCATCAAACACAAACCTACAAAAAAACTATTTAAATCGTTTGCGCTGCAAATTTTTGTTTGTGCTGCTTTAGTTTTGGAAATATTAATGATTCTTACAGGTCAAATTGTGGTCAACCAGCCCCCAGGAAGCTTCAAAATGCTCTAAAACGACACAAAATGGAGTCACTTGTTTGTGCTGCAAAAAGTTTTGTTTGTGCAAGTACAGTTCTTAGCTATTAGCTGTTTTCGGCCGATGACCCCCTTAAAAAAAACAAAAAATGCAAAAAAAATTTGCAAACTATTACATAAATTCTTTGCTTTGTTTGTGCTGTTTGGTGCTGTTAATATTTTACTTTTTGCGTTCATATTTTTCAAGTTACTATTTACCGCTGATTATGTTAAGTCATTTCTGGCCGAGAATGACATTTTGCAGCACAAACGAAGCTTCCGGACCGGTTCTGTTCATTGTTTTTATGGACAGAATTTCTAGGTGCAGTCAGGGGCCGGAGGGGGTCCGGTTCGGGGACCACAGGATTTCATCTCTGCTGTTTGCGGACGATGTTGTCCTGTTGGCTTCATCGAACCAGGACCTGCAATGTGCACTGGGGCGGTTTGCAGCCGAGTGTGAAGCGGCTGGGATGAAGATCAGCTCCTCCAAATCCAAGGCCATGGTTCTCGACCGGAAAAAGGTGTCTTGCCCTCTCCGGGTGGGTGGAGAGGCCTTGCCCCAAGTGGAGGAGTTCAAGTATCTCGGGGTCTTGTTCACGAGTGAGGGGAGGATGGAACGTGAGATTGACAGGCGGATCGGTGCAGCTTCGGCAGTGATGCGGTCGCTGTATCGGACCGTTGTGGTGAAGAGGAGCTGAGCCGAAAGGTGAAGCTCTCGATTTACCGGTCAGTCTTCGTTCCTACTCTCACCTATGGTCATGAGCTCTGGGTAGTGACTGAAAGGACGAGATCGCGGATACAAGCGTCACAAATGAGTTTCCTCCGCAGGGTGGCTGGGCGTCTCCCTTAGAGATAGAGTGAGGAGCTCAGTCACACGGGAGGAGCTCGGAGTAGAGCCGCTGCTCCTCCACGTCGAGAGGAGCCAGTTGAGGCTCGGGCATCTTTTCCGGATGCCTCCTGGACGCCTCCCTCGGGAGGTGTTCTGGGCATGTCCCACTGGGAGGAGGCCCCGGGGAAGACCCAGGACACGCTGGAGGGACTATGTTTCTCGGCTGGCCTGGGAACACCTTGGGGTCCCCCCAGAAGAGCTGGAGGACGTGTGTGTGGAAAGGGAGGTCTGGGAGTCCCTGCTTAGACTGCTGCCTCCGCGACCCGGCTCCGGATAAGCGGAAGAAAATGGAATGGAATGGAACGAAGCTTCCTTGGGACGGACTGACCTCGATTTGACCTATAAAAGAATTGATAATATCTCCAAAACTACAACAGAAACGAAAACGAAACTTTTTGCAGCAGTAGGTTTGTAGGTTGTAGGTTTGTGTTTGATTTGGGTCCGACTCGGGTGACACAGTGATCAGTTTTCTAACGTGGAAATCATGGCACTTGTTTCTTTTCTGAAGTCGTTTTAGGATCATTATTGTGATTCAAAACGTCTAAATGAGAGCAGAAAGGTCCACAGGTGTTAGAGATTCTAACTCCAGAGCACAGACAAGCACGGCGACTCTGATTTAATATGAACCCACTGAGTCGATTAAATTGTGAAAACCATTCGTAACGTTCCGCTCACTATTCTGACGACGTGTGAACCAACAAATACCCTCGTTGAAAATCCTAATTTGTGCAGTGTTGGCACGCCGGAGCCCGCAGAATACAGATGACGCTGAGACTGGCTGCGGTCTCGTCTTTCTTCCTCAGACTGGCACAGCGGTGAGCCTCTCTCCAGCCCGCGGCTCTGTGCCAGGCATGCCAATGTGTCCTCCGCTCGCTGCCGGGGGGAGGGAGGGAGGGGGAGAGAGAGAGAGAGAGAGAGAGAGAGAGAGAGAGAGAGAGAGAGAGAGAGAGAGAGAGAGAGAGAGAGAGAGAGAGAGAGAGAGAGAGAGACAGAGAGAGAGAGAGAGAGACAGAGAGAGAGAGAGAGAGAGAGAGAGAGAGAGAGAGAGAGAGAGAGAGAGAGAGACAGAGAGAGAGAGAGAGAGAGAGAGAGAGAGAGAGAGAGAGAGAGACAGAGAGAGAGAGAGAGAGAGAGAGAGAGAGACAGAGAGAGAGAGAGAGAGAGAGAGAGAGAGAGAGAGAGAGAGAGAGAGAGAGACAGAGAGAGAGAGAGAGAGAGAGAGAGAGAGAGAGAGAGAGAGAGAGAGAGAGAGAGAGAGAGAGAGAGAGAGAGAGAGCTGTGCTGATGCCGGCTTCATTTCACAGACTTTCCTCCCTGCTGGGCGCTGTTCGGCTAAATAGTAATTAAACTGGCTCAGGCTTTATCATCTATCATCCATCCATCCATCTATCTATCTATCTATCTATCTATCTATCATCCATCTATCTATCTATCATCCATCTATTTATCTATCTATCATCCATCTATCTATCTATCTATCTATCTATCTATCTATCTATCATCTATCATACATCTATCTATCTATCTATCTATCTATCTATCTATCTATCTATCTATCTATCTATCTATCTATCTATCTATCTATCTATCATCTATCTATCTATCTATCTATCTATCTATCTATCTATCTATCTATCTATCTATCTATCATCTATCTATCTATCTATCTATCTATCATCTATCTATCATCTATCATACATCTATCTATCTATCATCTATCTATCTATCTATCTATCTATCTATCTATCTATCTATCTATCTATCTATCTATCTATCTATCTATCATCTATCTATCTATCTATCTATCTATCTATCTATCTATCTATCTATCTATCTATCTATCTATCATCTATCTATCATCTATCTATCTATCTATCTATCATCTATCTATCATATCTATCTATCATCTATCTATCATCTATCTATCTATCTATCTATCTATCTATCTATCTATCATCTATCTATCATCTATCTATCTATCTATCTATCTATCTATCTATCATATCTATCTATCTATCATATCTATCTATCTATCTATCTATCTATCTATCTATCTATCTATCATCTATCTATCTATCTATCTATCATCCATCTATCTATCTATCTATCTATCTATCTATCTATCTATCTATCTATCATCTATCATCTCTATCATCTATCTATCTATCTATCTATCTATCTATCATCTATCTATCTATCTATCTATCATCTATCTATCTATCTATCTATCTATCTATCATCTATCTATCTATCTATCTATCTATCTATCTATCATCTATCTATCTATCTATCTATCATATCTATCTATCTATCTATCTATCTATCTATCTATCTATCTATCTATCTATCTATCTATCTATCTATCTATCTATCTATCTATCTATCATCTATCTATCTATCTATCTATCTATCTATCTATCTATCTATCTATCTATCTATCTATCTATCTATCTATCTATCTATCTATCATCTATCATCTATCTATCTATCTATCATCTATCATACATCTATCATACATCTATCTATCTATTTATCTATCTATCATCCATCTATCTATCATCCATCTATCAGTCTATCTATCTATCTATCTATCATCCATCTATCTATCAGTCTATCTATCATCTATCTATTATCTATCATCTATCATCCATCTATCATACATCTATCTATCTATCTATCTATCTATCTATCATCCATCTATCTATCTATCTATCTATCTATCTATCTATCTATCTATCTATCTATCTATCTATCTATCTATCTATCTATCTATCTATCTATCTATCTATCAATCAAATATCTATCATCCATCTATCTATCATCCATCTATCATCCATCTATCTATCTATCTATCTATCATCATCAATTATCTATCATCCATCTATCTATCTATCTATCTATCTATCATCCATCTATCATCCATCTATCTATCTATTTATCTATCTATCATACATCTATCAGTCTATCTATCTATCTATCTATCTATCATCTATCTATTATCTATCATCCATCTATCTATTTATTAATTTAAATATTTATTTATTTATTATTTTTATATTTTATATATTTTATAATTTATTCATTTTTATTAATTTATTATTTTTTTAATTGCATTTAATTAATTTTTTATTTATTTATTTTATTTATTTGTTTTTTATTATTTATATATATTTTTTAATTTTTTATTTATGTTTTTTTTACTGTATTTTATTTTATTTTTTTAAAGTTTATTTTATTTATTTTTATTAATTAATTTTATTTTATTTTGTATTATTTATTTATTTTTATTTATTATTTTTTTAATTGTATTTAATTTATTTATTTTTTATG